CACCACCATGCTTCATGTCATGATGCTGCCACCACCATGCTTCATATCATGATGCTGCCACCACCATGCTTCATATCATGATGATGCCACAACCGTGCTTCATGTCATGATGATGCCACCACCAATCACTTATTTTACGTTTTATATTTTTAATCAATTGACATTACTTTGTAGAAATCTGTCTTCATGTTGACATGATAGAGGCTTTTTTTTTTGTAAATTCTTGTCCAAAACGCCATATGAAATTGCCCATGTTTCAATTTTGAACAACAATAAAGGGAAAACTTTTTATAGGCACTGTAAATTCAGATTTTTTCTTTCCATGAGTAAGGAGGTGTATTTTTCATCTTAAAACATACCTGGAGGGTATCGTAAACATGTGCCAGGAGAGAAACAAAACAGAAACACAAGATTCTACTTAATTTCAATGGAAATTTATCACCACGGGGGAAAAACTACGTCTCGAGCATGGGGTTAATCTTTTCTGGGAATGAGGCCCAAACGGTTTCAAGTGCATGTTGTAACCTAATCTGAACAGAACAGGTGTCTGGAATCGATGCAGGGGAAGCATTATGGAATTAACTGTGTAGCTGTTGGGCAGCCCAGCAGCAGGATTCTCATGCCAGAATGAGGCCTCGCCGAGGGCTTGTTAGGTAAGTCACAGTATGAGGCTAAACATTCTGGGTAAACTGCCATACTGTGCCACTGTCCCGGCCGGCGAGGCCAAACAGTCCCCATGGTGACAGCTAATGCGACCGGCGCTCCAGGCGGCGAGCCAACTGCGCCCGGCAGCCAGTTGGCATCGGGGGACGGCGAGCGCGGGATGCCAGCGCACCAGCACGCCGAGGAATTTCCACAATGTTCCCACCGTCTGCAGAGATGCTTTGCGTCAGACGAAGCAGAGAGTTTTGTCACTGTGTGAAAGTATTGAACTGTGGAGTGCTGATCTCTGGGCGACCGTGACCTCTGACCTCTGAGTGGAGAGGAAACAAAAAAAGAACAATGTAGTTTAATACAAATATAAGCTTTACCTGTTGTTCTCTGCAGTCAATAAGATGGGCAGTCCCAGAATGACTGAGGAAACTATACTGAAGTACAACTTAGCACCATATAGGAGACTCTTCCTGATACTTTTCTCTGACAGCTATGAGTTGCATTGCAGATTAAGACAAAACATTCATGATAAGTTTTGTAAATGACATCATTACAGATTAAACTGCCCAACATTATGTAAAACCATTAGTTATAGCTGCAGTGACTGATTAAATGATTAGCTGTCAGCTCCTACATTAATCGTCAGCCATTATGATCATCAGTTCAACAGTTTGAGCAAACAAGAAGATAAAGTCAAAATGTTCCGTCTAAAGCTTCCTGAATATGACAATATGTGAACACTGTCTGGTTTCTTTGCTCCTCTGTGACAGTAAACTAAAAAATCTTTGGGTTGTGAACGAAACGAGACATTTGAGGACGTCATGTTGGACTTTGGGACACAGATCCCCATTTTCTGACATTTTATAGACGAAATAATCAATTAATAGAGGAAAAAAAAGCAACAGATTTATCAGCAATGTAAATAATGGTGAATTGTGCACTGACCGTCAACTGTCTCCATCTTGGGTGAACTATGTTCTCCGAGCAGCGAATCTCCAGTTCGATTCCCAACCATTCCTGCATCTATTTACTCTATTCCCATACATGCCCTGTCTCTCTCCACTGTATTTATGTAATGAAGGGAAATCTGCTAAAATAAATTTGCCTCCAACTCAACCAATTGCAACCTTAAAATCAGGGAATCTTAGTGCACCATGTCTTTGTTATTGAGATCTGGTGCATCCAAACCATTACCTGGACCTTCCTACCGAGTTGAAAATATATTTTAAGTACTCAGAAGATTAAATATTGCTCTTTCATACAGTTTGGAAACCATGTGAAGCGCAGAGTAAGTTTTCCTCTGTTCATCTTTTATGTATTTTATTTACTTTAGTCTCCCAGTTGCAAATGACTTTGAATTGCATTAAAATTGCACAAACGGATGCAATACAAATAAAGTCTGACTGATACAGAAGCAAAAGGAGCACAAACTGGGTTATTCTCTTGACAAAAAAAAAAAAAGATAATATATCCCCTGAGGTTTTCTTCTGTTAAAATTACGTTTTTTTTGTTCCCAGAGGACCTAAGTGCTGCACACAGGCAACGGTTGGATTTCTCTCTATAACAGAATATTGTAAAGTCTTGATTTTACTGTCTGAGGTGCCCTGAGGTGACCTCTGTTGGGAATCGGAGCTATAAAACGAAAATGAATGATTCCAGTCTATATTTTGTCAGACCCTTTAAACTCCACACCAGCAGCTTCTGTTATAAATTTGAAATCCAAGCTGAGAAAACTCACTCTGTTGTTCAAATATGGGCCTGGAAACCATTTTTAAACATCCTGACCTGCTGCAGATCAAAATGCTGCAGATCGGAGCCTCGTGCCTTCACGCAGAGTGAGTTTTGTGAGCACACAAGATTGTTACCTATGCTTCTCATAGTCCAGAACACAATCAAATTTAGACAGATAGTCCAACGCTGGCTGGTATATCGCAAAGACACCAGTATAGTTGCCACCCAAACCGGACTGTTTTCACAGATTACCACGTTCAGAGCGACGCTGTGGTCCACGATAACTGCTCCGGGTGAGAAAGAATAAAAAAATGTAGCCTATTTTCAGTTTCATTGTTTATTATAAAAAAAAGAACAAAATCTGAATCAGAGTAACCTTGCATAACACACATATGCATGTGAAGGACAGAAAAAAGCCAGTCACCCAACATATTCCCTAAAAACAAAAAGGGAAGAGAAAAAAAAAGTCTCAGAACAAATATTACGATTTTGTTCCCTCTTGGATTCTTTTATCTGCAAGCGTGAAGCTCGAGTGCAACAACATAAGAGTGCAGCTGGTCTTCCTCTACGGTCTCTCTCACAAGTCTTGATTTAAATTTTTTTTTTGGTTTCTTTTGAACGAGATTTAAAACATCAGTTAAGCTTTTTATAAATGGAGATCAGGCTTTCCAAAAATGTTCGCAAATTCAAGTATCAAATTCAACTACATCTATTCCCTCATTTATTAAGACTGAAAGGACATAATTTCAGTCGTCGTTTTCACACTTTCCAAAAATGCTTTTTAAGATCAAGCAGGAACGCGGTTAACACTTAACCCCCGTATTTCAAAAAATACAAAGTTTCTCTTCTGCATATCGTGAAAAAAAACACAACAGTATTCGTGTGTAGCTGAAATAATTTCAGTGTTTGATGTAGCATAGTTCCAAACAGCACCAGGCGAGCGTCATGAGGGCAGCTGTAGCCTAAAAGGTTCAGAGTTTGTGACCGGAGGATCACAGGTTACAATCCCTGGACAGGTTGAGAGAGAGAGAAGAAAACAAAAAATACTGAATTCGAATTTCGGTTGGGGGGGGGAAGAAACGAAAAGCACATTTCTGTCCCACAGTAATGACAACAACAACTACTGAAATGCCCTTGAGCAAGGCACTGAACCTCCGACTGCTCCAGCAGAACCGCTCGGTGGCCGACAGGTGAGCGCGTGAGCTCCTTCCTCCCTCTCGGAGCCGTGAAGTCAAACGTGAGGGTGACGAGTCGGTGTCGTGACAACACGCACACACACACATAATTCAATTCTGCAGAGAAAAATTCTCCCACTTTCCACACAAGAGAAAGAGCCACGTGATCTTTGTGGGTGCGAATTGTCCGTCAGAGCTTTGAATTTAGTGTCTAAAGTGAAGAAACAGACTCCTAACAGCAGTGAGGAAAGCACGCTCTGGTGACTGACATCTCAAACACAATCAAACTACACATTTCTATCTATTATCATCGTCGAGTGTCCGTTAGTCTGATGAAGGCTTTTGTAATCTTGGAAGGGGGGGCGGGGGAGGGGCGGTGGTAGCTCGCGTGTAATGAAAGATGTTTAAAGTCTTCGAAAAGGGAGGTTTAACGAAATCGCCTCCCTTTGCTCAACAGCTACCGCCGAGGTGTCCCTGAGCAAGGCACCCGCTGTAACAGCCCCGGTCGTTGGAGAGTTTGTGTGGATGTGGAGCAGGGCGCTGAAGCTTCCCTGGATAAATAAAGGTAAAATGTTCCCGCTGAGGCCGCCGAGATCGAAGGCGAGGCCCCGAGTCGAGCGGGAAAATGTCACTTCTTGGTTTTAAAACTGAATTAAAACGTTTAGCTGTCGTAGGGGGAAAACCCTTCCCTTGGCGCCAGAAAGAAAGGCAGAGCAACAACAAAAAAAACCAAAAAAAACAACGTGTCCCGGCGTCAGGAGGTCTTAGGAGGGGATGTGGGGACGGGAGGGGCCCCTGCATCGACCTTTTGTTCCCCGGCTGTGAAGGGACCGCTCTCATGTTGTTGGCCGGAGCGCTATGTGGGTGAGGGTTATCGGGGCAGCGTCCTGCTAAATGTAGAACTGGTGTAGCGCCAGCTTGTCCATGAAGGGCCGTACCAAGTTGTCTGTGGCGAAGTAGAAGACCAGGCCAAAAAAGATGGAGATGGGCAGAGCGGGCAGAGCTTTCTTGAAGATGGCGAGCAGCAGCAGGGTCAGACACAAACCCTGCGGGGGCACAAGGAGGCAAAAAAAGACAGTGAGGAAACAGCACATTGTGTACCAAACAAAACCAGCACTGCGGGGAAAAAAAGACACACACAGCTTGTTATACAATCAAGCGGTTCCATAAAGTGAGGTTACATATTATGCTGAGATGAGGTTTGCGGTGACTCGAACGTGACACCAAAATAGGCAACTCACAATGAGGATGGCTACGAAGCAGGCGAGCGTGGTGTTCCAGTCGCCGCTGGCCGTGGCTGACGCCTTTCCCACCAGCATGCTGTAGAAGATGAAGTCTCCGAGGCCCAACTTGACGCCCCCTGAGAACACCAGGAGGACACCACATTCAGGGTGGAGGCAATTCAAACACGGGTTCCACTCCGGCCCCACACCCTCCGGCCCCCTCAGCTGTAATTACTGCAGCAAACAAGAGCTCCGACCCCGTATTTACCGACGCTTTGAGCTCCAAAAGAGCGCAGGCCCCTCAAATAGACATGAAACCTAGCAATTGCAGTGAATAATCGCTTCCTAATTTTCTCAGACTAAAAACATTCACGCACGCACTAATTTCGTAGAAAGGGGAACACATAAAAACATTCCTAAAACGGTTAATGTGTTCGGAAAACGGGGAAGTGAAAGATGATGATTACACAGTGAGAGGAGGCAGGAGGAGACAATCTGAGCGTTCACGAGTCTGAATTACAGAGTTGGGCTTCATGTTGGAGCTGGGAGGTAAATCTGAAAGGACAGTAATGTGCTATTACTCCTATTTTTGATGTACATTTGACTGCTTAAAGCAAAATGCTGGTGATGACATACGGAGTTAAACAGACAGTGTGGGAAAGAAACACTTTAGTCTGGACCTAAAAAGTAACAAGAAACAAATGAAAGATGTTTGCTTCCTTGAGTTCTATGGAGCATTACGAATGCTCTAACTTTACTATTTTGAAACACTTTCTCTGCACTCAGATTTTTTTTTAGAAGAAGACACTCTCTAAGAATCCACAGCAGGCTTTCAGGAGTCAAGATTAATGACTAGCTGGAGAGAGTGAAGCCCTAACGAGTCGGATGTTTCCATAAGGAGTTGTTAGAGACCAAAATCTGAGCCAAAAGGAAAGAGAACGCTGCACTTAAATGGATGCTGGTGTTACTCTGCATATACTGAATGTGATAACGTGTAAGTTTTGTGTTGGCAGCTTCATGCACGTCCTCCTAAACGACCAAAGAAATCTATTAATACTAGTTTAAAGACTTACACTAACTGTAAATGTCAGCAGTTTAGATGTTGTTGCAGATCAGAACAACCTAAATTAGACAAATGATCATTTTTAGGCCACAAAAACTGAAATACCAAGTCTTTCATCTTGTTGTGGGATCATTTAAACGTCACATATTGCACATGTTGTATCAATATTTAGTTTTTAACATCCAATGTTCCAATGAATCCTTTGATTTGAGTGGGAACAAGTTGCACCATTGCCAGGAAAAAAAAAAGGATATTAAACTATTTTCATGCAACCCTGACAAACCAGCTGTTTTCGCACAACTCCAGAAAGATGTTTCACCATGCAGAATGTATCTTACAGCTACTCGCTCCTCTGTACGCTGTTTTTGAGCCGTGCTGCATTTATTTTAGATCGATTTCTTTTCAGTCTCCTTTGTCGTCTCCTCTCTGCTCTGTGTACACAGCCTGCAGTTCAGCCCAGTACTTGAGTTTTCATCACGTGATTGATGGTTGCAGCTGAGTCAGTCATGACGTCTCAGAGTTTTTAACAGAATCTGGTTACTGCAGACTGTTTGTTTAAATGAAGTGATTTTGATTACATATCACAATTTTAAGCCTTCTTGGAACTGTATGTCACACATGCATGGTTCAACACATGGCTCAAGGACCATTGGAAAGTTGAAAATCTGATACTTTCTCTACTAAACGGTGTAATTTTGGCGATTCGTTAAAAGAACATGAAACTCGTGGGTAGGCTTTGGGGTTCAGAAGGTTAACGGGGAAAAATAAACAGGACTGATAAACTTGAGGAATAACTGAAATATTAAAATACTGGCAGTGACTCGTCATTTTACTGTATATTTCAAAATATACTAAAACTTCCTTGTAACTGGAGGGTGGCATGTTTTAACACATGAGTTAACCTCCTGAGCACCAACCAGCCTCGTCTCGGTTCAAACGTCAGCTAAACAATGTTTAGTATTCTGCTTCCATGACTCACGTTCCTCGTCGTCGTCTTCGGCGGGGGGACGAGCCGAGGGCATCTGCTGGATCTCCCGTCGGCTGTCCTCGGTGGACTGCAGCGGCCCCAGCTGGTGCTCCTGGTGGCTCACCCAGTTGGAGGTGAAGCCTCCGTCGTCCTGTGATGGACTGGAGGGGGTCGGAGACGCCACCGGGGCTGTTGGGAGATACCAGACAGACTCAGGTTGAAAAAGGAACCATCTGGCACTGACCTGAACCCCGATCAGTCATGCAGACTCAAGCACTCACCTTGTTGAGTCTCTTGTTGGGGCGAAGCTGCTTCTGTCGAGTTCCTCTTCGGCCTGTCGGTGTCGGCCATGTTGACGAGCCAAACCATCGTAGCTGTGGAGGAAGTGAGTCGGTCAAAACAGGTTGCGTTAAAAGGTTTCAAGGTTTGGGTCGAAGGAATTTTTAAAAAGGTGAAGAAAATAGATTTTTAACAACATTTTTTCACAGCAGCATCAGCTGAAGCCCTTCAGACAAGAAGCTGCTCCCCACGTTCAAGCAATAAGTTTGTTAAATTGGTAATTAAAACAACAGCACCTCATTAGCTGAAGTGGTATTTTAACAGAGAGCTTCAGGGAGGACAGATTAGGTAAAACATGGTTACATTTAAATTGATCTGCAGCTACTGAAAGAACTCAGGTAAAGCAAATGTGCTGAAAGAGGTTTTAGAGTCCCTGAGTGGAAATGCTTAGAGCTCAAGAGTCAGCTGAAGTTGAAGTACTTGAAAGGAGTTGAAGAGCAGCTTAATGCCTCACCATTCAAAGGAGCTTATGGGACATTTTAGTGTAACCACACAAGGCTGTTAAAATATCAGATCAGAATGGAGTAGAATCACGGTTTGATGTGAGTAACTGAAGAGCCACTTGAGGTAAAAGCGCTAAAAGAAGACTGAATGTTCGGCTTCATCCAGTGACAAGGTTTTGTTTTAAAAGCATCATTCATGTCAAACATCAGCACGACTCCGACGCTTTTAGGAACCCTAAAAGGCAGACTTCTGAACACACTGTCGACCCTGTTTTAGTTTAAAAACTCTAGGGTTGTGTTTTAGTCTGAACGGGCAGACGCAACGTGTTCTTCATCGACTCAGAAGACAGCTAAGACATAAATCTGTTTCAGTGCAAGGAAAGTCATCTCTGAACGTAGCTTTCACCACTGTTATTGTTTTTCTCTGTAGAATGTTTAAAAACTAAGCTCTGATTGGTGTTTACACCGACACACCCACGTGAGCGGCTATGTATATGCATTTTCAGCTGGGTTAGTACAGGCGAAGGTTATTTCTGACGCAAAGCTGTAGAATCACAATGCAGAAGAAGACAATGGGTGTGTTCCTTTATCCACACTTCCATACTGTTTAGGGTGTCCTAATATATAGCGCTTCAAACGCAGTCGACTAAAAATACTGGGCTGTTCTGTTACATCCGGATGTCGTGCTTTTCTGGCCCACAATCCTCTGCACAGATACATCACAGTGTCCTGCTCACGTATAAACAAGCTGAAGGCATCAAGAGACAGATGACAGGTCAGTTTACACTCTGGAACAGCCAAAGTTTGATAATATAATGGAGCAGGCTGTCCCAGTTGTCTGCAAACTTCATGAAGCAGGACGGATTTTGTGAGGGCAGCTGTGTGTATGTACTTAAAGAAAAGGACAAAGCGTGTAATCTGGAACGCAGTCGTTGAGTAAAAGCAATTTAAAGGAGTTAAAGATTCAGTGGATGTCTGACTGTTCCAAAAAAAAAAAAAAAGAAGCCTCAATTCGGATTTGAAACACAAGGACACAAAGCTGCAACAATTAATTAGAGTTGCATCGAAAGAAGATGAAGTGTGTAAAAGGGGCTTTAAGAGTCACTTGAAGTGGAACTGTCAAGTCAAGTTGAGTCAGCCGTTGAGCTTAAGTGCTTTCCAGTACAGGAATAGGACTGGAATTCACCTGAGAAGTTTAAAACTGGAACACTAATGCTAATGAATTGACCTGAGTAATTTAAATATTACAGTTAAAATCCTGTAAGAATCTCAAGCAGGAGCTGATTTCTAACTACTGAAGTGAAATCACTTCAGCTTCTGTATGCTTTTATTAAAATGTGAAGAAATTCATTGGCCCTCCTCCATTTCGCTGCAATAACGTGTTAATAAATGTAATAACGTTGGCTTGTGGTGGGTGTTGGTCTTACAGGAGTAGATGAGAGCTGGAAAGATGGGTTCGTTCCTCTCCTGAGCCGTCTCCACCAGGATCCTCAGAGGCCCTTTGGGACAAAGCACCGCCAGCAGATCTGAGAGGAAACAAGACAGAGACCAGACAAGTGATGTTAGCCACCGAACAAAGGGGCTCTTTGAGAGGCCGAGAAGCCTCACACGACATCTGTGATAACAACAGGCAGCCAAGCGCACAGTTTCTGGCTCCTGCAATCCACAACGCTCGGCTCCGTCTTTGAAGAGTTCACGTCTTCACATAATGAAACGCGTAAATCAAACGCTGAGAGTCACTGAAGAGTTTCCAGTTAGACTTTTTTCTTTGAACCAGAAACTCACTGGACACCTGTGTGATTATGCTGAGTACAACCTGAACTTTGTCAGTGTAACTACACAACAGCTGTGAACACAACATGGCAGCATCTGAACTTCTGCTAAATTTATATCCATCATTTTAACCACTATTGCTACTTTTTTTCAAACATAAAGTGTCTATTTACTTACCTAATTAACTTTTGGACACCGACCCAAAACATTTCTGTGACTCTGCTGAGCCAGCATTTTGATCATTTACGCAACTGTCCGAGCTCTCTGGAAGTCTAATTCAGCCGTATGCTTTGCCACCCACGCATTTCCGTCCCTCGCAAACTTTTCAGCCCAGTTTTTTCAAGAATTTGTGTAAATGTTTAGCTCTTGAGACACATCCAGTGATGTCAACATCTGTTCCATACGTACCGCTGAAGAGAAAAAACTCCTGACAGTAAATAGGAATAGAAACCACAGTTCTGCTAAAAGTGATGTGCTGTTTGGTAAATCATTGTATATAAATCTATAAAAAGGTAACCACCAAATGTTCTAAAATAAAAATAGCACACATTAAATCAAAACTTGGTTAGATAACACATTTTAAATTCTCCCTTTTCCTCCAAGCACCGTCTTCCTGTTATCAAACACGAGCGCTAAAAGAAACCAGATGACTGATGCGCATCTTCAAAAGGTCACTTAAAGACTCGGGCTTTCTTGCTTAAAGGTCAGAAAGCAGAGGATTTACCGTAGACGGAGATGACGGCTAATATGAGCCAGGCGGTCCACTCTGGCAGGTACTTGATGAAAACCAGGGCCATGAGGGCGCTGATCATGATGAGGTAGGCCTGCTGGAGCCGCAGAGGTCCTTTCCAGTGAATGCACATCATGCCCACCACGCCGAAATTCCAAATGATTATCGCCAGGGTGAAGTAGTCCATGGCCACGTTGTAGGTCTTGAAAACCTCTCTGTTGGAAAAGACGGGAGATGTGATGAAAACACCCGAAGATTCTGCATCGCAATGGACGCTCACGAACATCTATTGCAATGTTTGGAAGCTGAACGATGAGGCGTGCTGCTTACTTGAGGTAGATGTAGGAAAAGAAGAAGAGCAGGAGGAGGGAGGAGAGGAAGAGCCAGCCTTGGATCACCTGCGAAGATGCAAATCACAGCTTAAATCATTATTACTTCAAAATAAGTTTCTAGTGTTTGTTTTGAACTAACAAGACTATTAGATAGAAGAGGTGCATCAGCTTTAATATAATCACATTTTCACCTGCACAACATGACAAAACATGATTTGTGGTCATTTTCTTCACCTTTCTAGTAGTTTCGTTGCACCTGTTAGTATAACAGCTGACATTATTACATAATGTGATGAGTAAGCATCCCAGTAAGTCAAACAAGCAGAACACAAAGTTAAATATCTTTGACTTCCAGCTGTCAGCTTCACTTTCATCCACAGCTGCTATATTTCACACACGAGGCCGTTGCTGGATAAGCCGGCTAAGCTGCATTGTTTTGACCTGGAATGAATGCTCCGCTGTGAGGCCAGTGCTAATGGGATCTCAGTTTTGTTGTCTGGAGTAAAGCTAACCAGTTCTTTGGGCTGTTTAGCTGTTAGCCACCTCCTTCTTTAGCATGTCAACGTAGGTAGCAGTACACACTTAGAACACTCGTTTGTAATCAACATGATCGGACGCAGCATTGGCGCTAAAACTGTTGCCGGAGTAACCTGCAACCACCTAGCTAGCATGCAAAACGTAGAATGCATGTGAGGCGTTTGAGGAACACTGGAGATGTTCAGCAAGTGAAGAGTTTAACCTGTCACTAGTTGATATGAACGATATCGCACAGCCTCCAGGAAAAGACTGCTGACAAAATAAACTTATTTTCAAGTCACTATTAATCTTCATATGAATGCAAACCTAGGGTATGCACATCAAGACAAATATTCATGAGCATGCAAGGTAGATTAATACATACAGAAAAGGGTGAGGATCATCAGATACACTGAGATTTTGTCCCGATTTTAAACTTAAATGAGACACAGAGTTTGTTGAGATGCAGCGTAGTTAGCACCAAACGTTTCCAACAGACTCTTGCATAAGATCAAACTTGCAAGAATATATTACAGATTTTTACTGGGCAAAAAACAAAATAAATGTTTTTTTTAATACTGACATTGTCTAGCACCAAAATGCTGCTAATAAATATATTGTCATGAGTTAGATAGTGTGTGGTAGTCTGTTAGAAAGAGTTCCTTTGTCTTAGTACCGCGTGAGGTAACACCACTGATTTAATTTGACCATTTGAAGCAGCACAACAAAACTCTGGATGACAAGAGTGAAGAAAGATGTGAACCCCATCCTAAGCAAAAGGCTTTTTCGTACGTCTTTGCCAGCGTTAAACTGCACAAGAAATGTGAGAATTCGAGATGCAAGCGAGAATTCACTGATGCAACAAATGTGTTCAGGTGTCTTTATAAAGTCACCTTAATCATTCTAGATTCATTAATTCTTTCCAAGTGGAGTTATTCAAGACATTTGGTGAAAATTCCTATAATACAACAATATATATATGCCAGGAAAAAACTAATTATTGCAATGCCATTTTTCCCCAATATCTTGCAGTTCTGTAATCATGTATAACTACTAAAATCTGATCAGGATGGAGACGTGATTGGAGCAGATCAGTCATTAATCACACCTTTATTAGTGTAACTGTTGTGTGTTTCTGACATGTGTTGTGTGAGGTGTGTACCTTGTAGCAGCGGTACTTGTATAACAGCACCAGCACCAGAGTCATGACGATGATCACAGTGATCATGATGGTGGCGTTCAGGATGGAGTTTAATGCTCTCTGTGCTACTGTGTCTGTGTCTTCGGGGAACGGTGTGTAGATCCTACAGAGACACATCAATGGACATGAATACAACAGCAAAGAAAAGAGAATATAACAAATTCAATGAAGAAATCTTGCCGTATATTCGCCTGTACACGGTGGCTTTAACTCTATGTCGTCTATATGTTATTACAGTCGATTTTGGAAGCTTAACGCTTGAGCTTACTGCTATTTCAGGGGAGATAAACTGCTCTGGGTCGCAGCTAAAGATATAAAATACCATGTTTACGTGTTCTGAGCCAGATTCAGACTCTGCCATAATGATCTTAAGCAATTACAGTGCTGCCTTGGTATTCAAACTATGCCGGCGTGATGTACTCTACATTACATTAACTCCACCTAGTGGCAGAGCTGCGGCGTTGCATTCTATACAAACATCATGGTAACACTCACAGTCTCTGGCCGTCGTTCTGGGTGTAGAAGCTCACGGACTTTATGGTCGCCACGACGACGACCATGCAGAGCGTCACGGGGACGAACAGCATGATGACGTGCTTGGCGCCGTACTTCAAGGTCAGCTCTTCGTCCTCGTCCTCGTCAGTCTCCACCACCAGCGGAGGACGAGTGGCGGGAGGCTGCCCGTTCTGCTCCGGGCCGCTACTGTTGCCTCCTCCGCCTCCTCCTCCATCATCGCCGCCGCCTCCTCCTCCTCCTCCTCCTCCTCCAGCTCCTGATCCTCCCCTGGACCTCGCTCTGGTCCCCCCGGCCTCCTGAGGCTGCTGAGGGGGTTCTGGGGCTGCGTTAGGCTGCTGTTGGTCCTGTCGGTACGGGAAAACATTGCATTATAGTCTGTGTACGCTTAATTTGTATCAACATTCTAGTAAAAAAATAACAATAAGTATTTACAGACATTTATAAGATTGAAGCAGACTGATCATAACCAGAACAAAAAGTCAAAAACAGCCATATTTAGTGATAAATTATTTTTGAGGCAACTTGATGGGTCAGTGTTCTAAAACACAATATGATACAGCAGGGTTGGCGATGATCTTATCGAGTAGTAACACAATCCATGATCTGAATTACAATCCCCCCCCACATTTAGTTAAAGTCATGTGATCTAGGGATGCAAATTTTGTACAAGTTTCTAAACCGATAATCCATAAACTATAACAGTCAATAGTAACAATAAATGAACTCAGTGGGCACCATTCTGTCTCCTGATGAGACCACTTTGACCGCAGTCACTTCAGTTCGCCCACATGCGTTCTGGTCGGTGGGCATTAAGCTTTAACGGAGACTTTCTCATGGTGCCCCTTTACTAGCTAAACTCACAATGCCCTCCTCCTACACAGAACTGCTATTGGTCAAAGTGACCGACACCTTTGGTCGCTACAGTACTAAATGATAAGAAGCTCCACCTGGTGGTGCAAACAGGCGCTACAGCTAATCTACAACACACTTTTTGACATGCACGTCCTTCACCTTCTGCCTTATTGGTTAAAATATTTTAAATTACTAATGACACAGAGCGTATTGTTGTCTGGATACAAAGTCTGTCACTATAATTCCGGGTAAAGGCGACAATTTACAAACATCTGGATACTGTTTCTGCTCTGATCTTATTGTGAAAGTCCTGATCAGAGGTGGCGATTCGTGTCTCTGGCGTTTTCACAGTTGTTCTAGAACATCAAGTTGGTGCTAACCAGCTAGTCCTGGTCCATCCCTTCTCACGTTTCTCTGTTTGTAGGCTGACAGGATTGTTGTTGTTGTGGGTCACAGAGTCATTCAGCTGCACTTCAACCTACAGACGAACTCCAACTTCAACTTCTTGAAGTTTAGCCCACAAACAGTCGTCAGCTATCTCATCATGGCTGGAATTTATGGCAACCTTGTTCTTCCCTGTCTCAGTAAGCTTGAAGTAACAGCCTACTGCAGGTTCTGGTTGGAGTGGACCTCCAGCTCGGAAGGGAAAACTGAATGACACTTTGGACCACCATAATAGGAACCTGCAGGTCGGGAAACATGAGGCAGGATGGGCCGGTGCTACCTGGTTGGAAGCGACTGAAAATTAAAATCTATTACTTACACACAGCACCTTTAATGATGCTACCTGTGCAATTATTCTTAAAATCAGATCTTCTGGGAAAGTAAGGCAGTAACTTCTCTTTGTCGTAGTCAGTCCATGCTCTGAACAAAGATGCCAGATCCAGTTTAACCAGCCCTCTACTACTATAATCCTTTCACTCATAAAACATAATTCTATGTTAATGGGCTGTGTGTGCATGAGAACCCAACCAATCTGAGAATCCGCCACAGAAATAGTTAAAACCAATCTATCAGTCCTCCTGTACATGCATGTTATCAGATGAAATGGGCCGTAGGTGTTTGCATTTCAGTGTTTAACTGGCTCAGTCGCTCAGTTCCTCCAAGGATAACAACAGCGAGCTTGTTACCGCTCACCCCGAGGATCCGTCCCGTCAGGACAAAATAAGGACGCGAAAAAATCAAGGAGACTGTGTGAACTCAAACTGTCAGGCTGCCAGGCGAGTCGAGACACGCGGCAGCCCAGACGTGAAGCAATCTCACCAGGTACACAGAAATGAAGACAGGAGGTATATCTCCAGAGAGCGATGGGAATAGCGAGAAGCTGCCAGAGCTCTTAAACAGGCAGCTGCGCGAAATGACCTCAGTGTGTGGCGTGCCGCATTGTTTCTCAGGCCTGGGAATAAGGCCGCCGCTCCTCCCAAGGACACAAAAGATACAGACAACTTTACTGAATTAGTCCTCAATTCAAATTCATATTCAAAATGAGTGTTAATGCCCCTTTTTTCCAACCAGTCTGGCCATTTGCGCATTTCAAGACAGAACTTAAATGTTCTGTAGGTCTCAAGACTGTGAAATCTAATTGTTGTGAGGTAAACAAAACACTGGACAAGGCTCAGGGCTGTAAAGTTGACTGTGACAATAAAGAGGGACTTTGACTTTATCTCATAGCTGGATGGGAAACGCCTTTATTTACAGTAACAGCGAAATTCAAAGTCATCATTCATGTTCTTATGTTACAACCTCAGGGACGTACTTTAACTCTGTTGCACTTTGTTTTCATATTATGTTTTAAAAGATCTTCCATATAAAACACTTGGCGACTTTGTTTTGGCAAGTCTTAGTATTCAAAGTGTGATGTTGTCGTAGGAGCCGACCAGCGCTGTAAAAATGCATCATTCCTTATCACGATATAATCATCCTGTCCTGGGTAATTTATTGCAGCAAGGGTCAAATAAACCCAAACTTATCAGACTGAAACTCCCCCACAGTGCATAGAGTCACTAACAGGAACAGATGACTCTTTTTTACTGAAACACTGAGCTTTACGCAGCCCAGACTGTTAGGTAATCATTAGCCAATACATTAACACCAACGGGGACACAGCGTTGGAGCAACATGCTTTCATACTGACCATATTGTTTTCGATATCCTCTGCATTGTTCGCCATGGTTGGCTCGGCTGACACTTGTCCTCACATGCAAACCAAACTGTGTTACCCTGTGGAAAGAGAAACGGGAAACTAAATCAGACTCGTGGCACCAGAAATAGGTCCAATAAAAGCTCGTTGGTGACAACATTGAATCAAATTGAGAGTGTAAAGATAGGAGGTGTGATAAGCTGCTGAAACTGAGCTGGCATTGATTTTATAGAAGACAGAAAACACATACAGGACAAACGTTATTCTGGAGCTTTCCCATTGTATATACGAGCTGCTGTTACAAGATATTGCACAGCAGAATTCTAATGCTGGAGTTCTTGTCTGTCACATTTTTATATCTTATTCCCACTGAGATCCACCAACACCTAAAATATAACATTTTTGTTATTCCAATAAGGTGTCCAGACGTGTATCTACATTCAAAGAGCGACTTGTGGCTGTAAGGATGCTACAAAATGCTTTGTTGTTTGGTACAAAAAGAAAACTTGCATGATTCTCATTTTTTGTGACTAATCTACAAGAGAAGTTCACCTGATAGAACATAAATTACTCCAATTTAAGCGCCGACTAAACTTCTTCGACTAAAAACTTTGTAATTTATATGCACAAGAGTTTGTTGACATGCAGGCTCTACATGTGCACAGCGACATGAGTGAAGAACAAGAGAGAAACACTGAAAAGGAAGATTTGGTTGCAAAACAAACAGTGTCAGAAAGGATGATGTTGACCAAAAACAGGTACTCTGTCTGCAACGTCTCGCAATTGTTATGTCCACACGAAGCAACACAACTGCCTGAAATCAGCGCCACAAAGGTCTGGATGATCACTGCAAAGCCAGATGCCTTCATCAGTGTTAGGATAAAAGGGTCTAAACTGTTTTGTTGAGCTCTTTTTAAAATGAATTATTATTTTCAAAGCATCAAAGCAGATGCACTTCCTGACAAAATCACCCAAATCCTTCTACAATTAATAATTCTTCACGAATTGAATTATTTCTATCTTATATATATATATATATATATATATATATATATATAGAGAGAGAGAGAGAGAGAGAGAGAGAGAGCAGAAAAACAGAATATTGCATTCTCTGTTCTTTCTGTAGTCATTCCTTCTTTCTATACCGGTGTGAAGTGATCCATTCTGACTGTGACTCCATACTCCACAGTCATCTGTCTGTGTAAAATGCATTGTAAAGACCAGCCAATGCTGACATTAATGCTGCACCTAGCAATTATTTCACATTGTCTATGATTTCCTGATCAGTCAATTAGTTGTTTGGTCTATAACATGTCAGATAATTGAAAAAGCGGGTGTTTTCCTCAATCAAAAATTTCTTGTTTTGTCCACGACCCCAAAATATTCAGTTTACTGTCACAGATGACAAGAAAAAACAGAAAACATTAAAAATTAAGAAACTCGAATCAGACATTTTTTTCCCCTTTAAAGTAATACAAAATGATTTATTGATTATAAAAAGTACTTGTTGACAAATCCTCAATTAAAGGTTGCAGCTCTAGTTTTACACAAACACCTATTTTCTGTTTTTGTGCGATGGACTAGAAAACAGAAACATACACAGCTGACCACACAAGTAACAAATGAAAAGTACTGAAAACCTATTTAGCCACATTTTGGAAAACAATAAGTCGATTCTAAGCTCACTGGCAGACAAGAAGGAGGGTTTTCTTGCTGCTGGAGTAATTGGAAAATCTGATTTTGTGCCATTTATCTTTGTCTCCAACTGAATTTGTTGTAATTGATGTGAAAAGGAGGAAATAAACCAGAAAACATTTTAATCTAGGGAGCCAGAATCGGAGAATTCTGACATTGTTTCTTTTTAAAAAATGAATCAAACCAAATAGCTATCAAAACAGTGGGCAGTTAATTTAATAGAGTGTAAACAAACTAAGTTGTGAGCTCTAACAGTTTACGTTAAATTGTCCATTTCTATATTTAGGCATCTTTGTTTGTAGAATTACTATTCCATGTTAGCGGAGTGACTTGCAACGAGATCAGCACGTTTGTGTTCGGGTTGCATAAGGTTTCAAGAAACGAGGTCAGAGGAAAAGGCCTGAGGTCCACGTACGGAGAAATGTTTTCATCTCCAGAAGGTTTTCATTCTTTGATCAAACAGAGAACTGATCACCAGGTTAAACTCCCAAAACTTTGTATAGTGCCCAATAAAGAGGAATTCCTCAGAGTCTGTTTAAAATAAAAGCTGATGGATTTGTTCTGAGAATCTGGAAGAACTCCGTTATTCTCCATATTGTATGCAATGTTAAATTTACCAGCAACTCAGCAAAGGGGTTTTGTCTTCTTCTTCTTTTTTAAATTTTTTCTAAAAATTTAACAATTACAGCAATTTTCCAGGTCACTATCGCAGCAGCTCTGGCTGACATTATCAGGTTTCAGCAGTCATGACTGAGCCGGATCGAGCCGCTATCTCCAAAAGTTCTCGTCTTAAAAATAAAATTCCCTCTTTGTGTTTCGCCAGACAGGGTTTCCTGACTGAGCTGCAGGCAGGGATTGAAACACAAAAGAAGAAAATTGATTTTAGAAAAGACTCCAGCTTTGGGAGATACCCAGCCGATTTATCTAATTAAGACCGGTATTAGCCTTGGCTGAACTTTAGAAGGTCAGGAACAAGTTAAGTCACTGTCATTTATATAGCACATTTAAAGCTGTTGTACCAAAGTGATATCCAGAAGAAAAATGAGACTGACATCATGAATAAACCTAACGAGTTTATATACTCAGGTTAAGACCCTACAGCGGTTATTTATGCTGTCAGTTTACTTGAATAATTGAAACATTGAGACTTCTGAGCCTACAAAAGACTATACATGATACATTTTACTAGACTATAATCAATATTACGGCTAAGACCATCCATCGAAGATCCTGTAAAGAGTCCCGGGGGCCTAATACAGGGGACATAGGGTTCAACATGGACAGGTCGCCAGTCCATTACAGGGTTAATACAAAGAGCACACTCTCACCTACAGCCCATTTAAACCCATCCATTAACTGTGCATGTTTTGAGCTGAGGTAGGAAGTCAGAATATAAGGATATATCAACACAGTATTGATAATTGTGGGGATTAATCTGGCTCATTTAGAACTAAAGCTACGACGACAAAAAATATACATGTAAACCTAGCAAACCAATGCACTGATTGGATTTCCTGTGTGAAAATGTTTTTATGTTCATTTTTAAGTGTATCATTGTGTGTGTGTTTAAGGTGTTAAAGCACAGAGTAGAAATTAGATGAGTCATTTCATAAGATGTGGATACTTACAAAGATTTTTGTGAAATTTCAGCTTGATATATCAAATATTTTCCAAGATAATTAAAAAAAAATAAGTAAAGAAAAAAAAAAGCCACTTTCAGTAGCTGTTTTTGCAGATTGAAATTTAAGGTTTCGAACAAAACAATGACATAAAAATCCTCCAGAACAAGTACAAATCTGGAATTCAAATTCTACTTGAGTAAAAGTATACAGCCAGGTCATTTATTCTTAAATTGTCTGATGTTTTTGGAAAAGAATCTGCTCAACCATCTCCAACTTTCCTGAAAATTGTATTGCATAAAATATAGTTATTCATTAAGATGTCTGTCAAATTTCAGCTTGATATGTCAAATACTTTACAGGATAATAATAATAATAATAATAATAATAATAATTACCAGCTGACCCAATTTCTGTATATTTTCTTTCACCCATTGAAATTTCAGGCTATGTTTGAAAAACAGCATCTCAGGATCTATTAAAGACAAAAAACCTGATTTTTTTCACGTTATTTCTCATCATGCCATCTTTTATAAATAGATCAATAAACTGATTACAGGCAAGTTGAAATATGAAGAAAAAAAGAGGAAGCGTCATGACAAGTTCCATCTTTGAGCAACATAGAAGTGAACCAGTCATATTTTGTAAACCACATAAAGTTGCATGTCACACAAAACACAAAACTAAGCAAACAGAATACTTTGTCCACATAAGATAGAAATGATAGAAATTTAAAAAAGCCATTTTAGTTGAACTTTTATAACATACTGAACAGATGTGACAAATGATTCCATGCAAACAAAAGCACTGGTGGATAGTTAATCCTAACAGGAGAGAGATCTGGAGTTCATCAAGTCATCATTTGAGATGAAACGACCCACATTATATTCAATGCAGAGTACATATACGAAGACAATAAAATGCATTTAAGCATCTAACCAGTTGTGTAAAAGAAGAAGTAAATGCACAGTGAGATGTGAAAATATTTAGGTGGAATAGTTCTAAGGACAGTATAAATGTTATATACAGTGTGAGCAGTATAAACAGTGCATTTAGGTATGTAATATATACGAATATCCACAATGTGCATGTAATATATAGAGAATATCTTCTTTCCCACGGTCAGTTTGAAGAGGAGGAATCTGTACAGTGACCACTACCTCTTTCTGTGTATATATAAAATTGTATTCAATACAGAAACGTGTATTAAATATGAAAATAGAGTTAGCTTATATATTACAATACGTTACCATTAATACTAATCTAAAGTATTTGTGGGTGTGTAACGTTCACGTCACTGATTAAACACATGGGAAATCACATTCGTTAATAATTGCTGAACTGCTAATGGTTCATTTTGACTTCTGACGTGGTAAATTAAAATAAAAAAAATTAAAAGAACAGTGACGCTAAGTATCCATCGGTGCTCTCGGAGGTGTTTTATCATTCGAGAAAACGGCTAGTTAACGTTAGCCAGTAATGTCATAACGGCAGAGCAGCAGCGGCCGCGCTGGGCGGCTAACGGTGGCTAACCGGCGGAGCTCTGGTTAAATGTGGCTCCCGGAGTTCAGTCTTGAAGTAATGGCACTTACCTACGGGGAAGAGTCGATAATTTGCGGTATTTGTGTGTGGGAGCTGGTTAAAACCCGGGTACTTTCTCCTCTTTGTTGTTCCTGCCTCCTCACAGATCATCCGGCCGCTGCTGTGAACTGCTTCCTGCTCGGGTTGCGTTCAAGAACACACCGCTGCTCGGAGCGTTTATTATTCCAATCTTAACCACAAAATTAAATTCAATAGACTGCTCCCATATACGGTTGATCTACCACATCCAATATTGCTATTTCGGACTAACAAAAAAATAACAATTCACAAAAAGAAAAAAAAAGCTTAAAAAGAAAAAAGTTAGTTCATATTAAAAAATAATGTTCGCTAGCTGGTTGTACTTCCGGTGCTAAAGGTCAACTCGTCTGGAAGAAGCAGCGGTCTAAGAAAATCCATCAAAACCGACAGAAAAAGGCGGCTGAAAGCATGGTTAGTACGTTTTGACAGGCCACTTACAAATTAAGCTTATTTGCACTTTTCTGAAGTCAATATTGTATGTCGATTAATCAAGCAGAATTGGGTGTTTGGTAAAGATACAAGCTCGATGCTAATGTTAGCTAGCATGAATGCGAGGTACGTTTGGGAGTTGAGCAGCTTCAACAAGCCACACTGACAAGTTCGACACGCGTTTGATGCCTACAGCTCCGACACAATGCAAAGAAAAAGCTATTTAATATGTTTTAATGAGACTTTTTGTCGCTTTAAGTGAGCGTTTGCAAGCACAACCTTCAAACTGTGCGTCTGTTTGTCCAGTCCTCGTTTCTAAAGCCTTGTTCAGATTGTGAAACGTGGAAAAAAAAACACTTTTTGTCTTTTGTAATGAATACAGATTTATTATTAGCACATAACCAGTCTAAATGTTAACTGATCTCATCCGTAGGGTGGTTCAGGATTTTTTGTTTTATCCTCTTTTACGTGCAGCTGCTCTTGTTTGAGTTCATTCATTTGTTTTTAACGCTCAAATGCTCTCATCAATGCTTTTATTGACATTTTATTATTTTTAGTATTTTATTGCTGTCATAATCCATTCATTGACAAACAAATTGGCAGCTAATGTTCCTTCATTGATCCTTGCATATCCTGATAACTGGGAACTAATTATTAACTAACTGAGAGGTCAAACTAGTGTCTTTAAAACAAGTTCAAGAAAAACAACAAAAACAAGTCAGTTCATGCTGATATATAATGATATGATGTGAAGCAAAAGTCTAAAAACTGTTGCTGCCTGGTAATTGAATTATCACACAGGGCTGGGTGATAGAGCTTTACATAGTTATCACTAAAACGTTTACTTTCAGTCAATGGAGTGAACTGACTATTTGTAATGAATTATTTTTAAGATGGAGCACCAGGAATAAATGTTTACTTTGAATTTAACCTCTTTAGCCTGTTTATAAAGGTACGCAAAAAGTCATTGTAATGTTAGCACAACAATGAAAGGCACACAAAAACAAATAAATTATCCATACAAGTAAAAACAAGTAAAAGGATAAAGGATTCATCCTGCCCGAATCCCTGTTAAATAAAGAAGTTACTCGTTTTAGTGGCTTTTTCACTGTGTTTTTGTTTTTTTAATTTGCTTTTATGGACGTTTGTATTGAATACACTTTTTTTTTTTGAAATTATCAAACAATCTCTCACATTTGTCTTATTGCTGTTGCTAACGGCTCTATCGCTGGTACATATCGCTGTCATTTTATTACCTAGGCCTTAAATACCATGATAATTAGTTAATAATCGTTCACTAACTAGTTGAGGTCAGAGCAGAGTCTTTAAATCAGTTGGTTTGTACACGCAAAACAAAAAAAACCAAGTCGACGTGTTACACAAATGAAATGTGGAGAAAAAGCTTTTCCCACTTCTCTGCGTGATAAACTGATTCTCACAGCTGAAATATGTTTATTTGACTAAACCAGATCACTGTTTCAGTCTAACATTGGATGATTTAATCTAAACATGCGTCTTGTTTTTCAGTCTCACACCATCCTGCTGGTGCAGCCCACCAAGAGGCCCGAGGGGAGGACGTACGCCGACTATGAGTCCGTCAACGAGTGTATGGAAGGTACGCCGACGGTGCAACATGGTAGAAAACACACACGTACTCCTCTAGGATTTACATCTAAGAGTTTCTGCTTGTCCCACTAATGCAACACAAACCCTTTTACCAGACATGCAGTCACGAGTTGAAACTAGTTCTAGTCTAACTTTAGTCTGTAACCGCAAATAGTTGAGTTGTACCTGTTTCTATTCACAGATGACAGAAGTGCAGCTTCTGTGAGCCTACATGACAAAATTCTGGTTATTGTGGGTCAGATAAATGTAAATAGAACCACCCACAAACTGCATTAATGTACCAGTTAATTATTAAATAAGCTTGTCACATGGAAACAATTCTCATTTCTTCTTACACAGTTAGTTCTCACAAACATTGCCAGTCTGCTTGTAGGTAAAAGATGTTGGTGTGAAGCTGTAAAACCAGGTTTAAAGTGTGTTTAACATGAAAAATGAAACAAAAACTCAGTATCTTACCTTGAATTTGGAAAAATCCATCTGAACCACCTGGGAAACGTGATTAGGATTAGTTATACCTGCTGCCTTGTTGTCTTAACAGAAATAAGCCTGATCATAGAGTTATCTGATATTTCAGTGGCAATATGCAGCGCTAACTTTAACTTTATAAACAGTAGGAATAAAAAAAAAATCAAGTAAATCTGAAACGATTTGCTTTATATTTGTATTTCTTCTGTAGTACATGTTGGATTAACACGAGGGTGATATTCTGTCTCCTGCACAGGTGTGTGTAAGATGTATGAGGAGCATTTAAAGAGAATGAACCCCAACAGTCCGTCGATAACGTACGACATCAGCCAGCTGTTCGACTTCATCGATGACCTGGCTGACCTCAGCTGCTTGGTGTAAGTTTGACTAAAACAATGTGCAAGCCTGTACGCCTCCTCTACATTCATTCAAGCAGCGTTTACTGTCTAATAATTGATCAAAGTGAGTGTCAAGAAGCAACTCTGGCTCCTGTGAGGTCACCACACAGCCCAGTTTATTCACTCTGAAGCAGTTAACTCATGTTTTTGCCATTATTTTTTTTTTGCAGCATTTCAAAATTCACGTGGCAGTTGTGTAGAAAGACGGCTTCTGCTGCATTAGAGCTAATCATGGTGTGTGTAGTGAAGCACAAACTACAAAAATAAAAACATCAATCATTACAATAATTATAAATACAATAATGTAACAAATATGTGTAATAAATAATAATAACTGTCCCGGTAGATGAAGGAAAATCCAGTAAATGGAGTCTGTAGTTTTAAAAAAAGGCAAAGTGTTTTAGTATTTAATCATTATTTAGTTAATAATTACATTTTGATAGAAATCAGTGTCGGTGTAATTTCACTGCTGAGCACTTTATTCATACATTATATTGAATGTATGTAGATAATATAACTGGATGTGCAGCACGACTAAAGGGAAGCATCGCACACGGAAACATTCGGTTAATTTAACAAATAATTTAGTCGCGCAGTATCGACCTACTCCAACAATTCAGAATAAGTTTACAGTGTTTATTCTGGAACGCTCTGGTGATGTTTAATTCTCTGGCGGTAAAACAGATGAACTGCTCCTCATCAAAAACCTTCAATAAAATCAGGACACTGCTTCAGTCCCTCTTCGCTTTTCTTCTGTTGTCTGCCGGATTGTGTTGCTCTGTTTTGTTGTTTTTCCATATTTCCATCACAAAGCCGCCGAAACGTTTATATTATTCATAAAGCAATCCTCGGCAGCTTTGGAACACAATTCGATTCGATGTGCAAGTTTTTAGAAATTAGTTCAACTTCTAAAGATTGTTTGCTTCCAGAAATCAGAATTTTTTTTCTACCTTTTGCTTTGTTTTTACGAAAAGTCTTTATTCTCTCTCATATTATTCAAATATGTGAGGATGAACCTGCTGTTGTTACACTGAGAACACGTCAGCTGTGTGAGTCGTTTCATGGCAGCTGTGTTGGGTTAAGTAGGAGGTTCAACCCCTCAGCCTGAGTGCCTTTGAGCAAAACAGAGTCTCAACCAGCTGCTCCTTTATCCCACAGAAGCTAAACTTGACTTTCAGGAGCAAAAGTCATGTGGTCACGGTTTGAGTCACATTAGCAAAGCCCTCGGAGCACAAACTAAAAGCTGCATGTCATTTGTGGTGCCGCCTCAGGTATCGCGCCGACACGCAGACGTACCAGCCGTACAACAAGGACTGGATCAAAGAGAAGATCTACGTCCTGCTCCGCCGTCAGGCTCAGCAGGCGGCCAAGTGAAGCTCCAGGAGGGGAGTCGGGGGGGGTCGATGTTATTTTTACCATCCGTAACGTGTGTTTCAAAGGTTCCAGTAACTTGTTTTCAGAAGTTTTTGACAAAGATTTTTTTTCCTTTTCTCATGTGGGGTGAAGTGTATTTTGTATTTTAATGCTTGACTTATTAATAAAGATTCCTTTTAAGTAACAAACAGTTGAATTTGAATTTTGTCTTTTCATTTTGTGTCCTTTCTCGTTTTCATCTGGTTTTAGTCACATTCTGGTTTTGTCGTTTTCTTGCCAGATTTTTCTACTTTAACAGCAGCTCCTAAAAACTTCCAGAGGTTCTGTCATTCATTTCTTTCTGTTTTCTTTCTTCTGTAAGTTTTTCTTTCTTGTTTTTTGTATCTGCTGTCCGCCGTCTTTTTTTCTCCGTTACCAATTACACCGCAGTGTGATTGAGGATAATTAGTCTTTTTCTCTTGCATGAGGTAATATGATCTTGTAATAATGTCATAGAAGACAAATAAGTCTTATTTTTCTTTCACTTTGTTTTGTTTGACAGTGTAGTAGAAACAGCTGTACAACATTTATTACTAATAATGTAAGTTTGCTTTTCAGTTAATCACTCAGTACACTAATTGCACACACAGTGTTGTTTTTAGAAATTCAATCATTAATATACTCCCCCGCCCCCCCCCAATAATGGAAAACTTCAGTAAATTTATTTTTATAGCTGATTTAAACAAACAACTTTTTATAAATAAATAGATTTTTGATGTGAACATTATTTACAGTTAGTTAAACTTATTAACGAAACAATGACAATCTGTAAAATAGTAAAAAATATTTTTAGAACCCCAAATATAACTTTTTTTTTCTTTTAAGAAGGGCAAATATCGGTAACATAGTATTTTTTTTGCTGATTTAAATACAGTTTTTTTTAATATATATTTTTTTAATTGATCCCCATTGGGGAAAATTTACAAAATAAATTTTAAATTAATAATTATATAAGTAAATAATTAATTACATTTAAAAATGAACCAAATCACCATTTATAAATTTTTCAAAAAACAGTTTTTTTTAGGTTAACATGTACATTTATACTTTTTTTCTGTAATTTTACTCGTTATCTTGACAAAACGGGGAAAGTCATAGCCACATTTTTATTTTTATTTTTTATTTTTTTTCAATTTCTCTCTTAATGTACCTAAAAATAATAATTGGAGGTTGTTTTTTTTTTTTTTTTTTTTTTAGGTAAACGTACATTCATAGTTTTCTATCTGATTTTACTGTTTATCTGTAATTTAACAAAACAGGACAACTCTAAATGACAGTAAAATGTAAGAAAATGAAAGTTACAAACTGTTTATTTTTGACAGTGTAGAAAAGTGCTCCACAACAGTCATCTGCTTTATCGCGCTTGATAATTCGCCTCCTTCTGGCACAGAAAGAAAACAGCCCGAGTACGTGTCGAAATATTGATTTTTGTTTTTGCCACAATTGTGCCTGAGAATGTATTTACAATTTTCAGAAGTAAGCGAATACAAAAAAAAAGAAAAGAAAAATCAATAAAATGTAAGAAAACCCCTCCACAGCACCACAGCGGAGCGCGGAGAGAGGAGGGGGGACATTGGCAGCAGTGCAGCCGGCGGACGGAGCGCAGGAGGCGGCCGCTCTCCTCCTGCAGTCCCGCTGCTCAAGCTGGAGCTTTCTTTTTTCTCCCCCTTCTTCTTCCTTTTACCTTTGTGTTGTGATCGGCTCTCCCAGTCTGATTCTCACACCCACCCCGGTACCCCCACCACCACCACCTCCTCCTCCTCCTCCATCCCACCCTACCCTACCCCATCATCCTCCTCCTCCTCCTCCTCCTCCACCCCCTCTCCTCCTTTTAGCATCTGAAAAGACCACTGAGTGAGAATCGATGGCGCAGAGGCCCGCTTGACAGGACAATAAACCACAAAGAAGGGGTGAGTTTTTTTTCTCTCCTCCTTCTCTCTCTTGCTTTGCTTGTTTTTCAGCCCGTCTTGTCTGAATTGCAGAATTACTCTAAAGACGAGGGGATCGCTCGGGGCTGCGTGGAGATGATATTTAACACAAGGCATCTTTTGTTACCGCGATATGATTTACAGCAGCAGCAGCAGCAGCAGCTCAGCTCCTCTCACTCACTCTGCTCAGAAATATTAGAGGCTAAAAAAAAAAAAAGAAGAGGAAAATCAGCATCAGGACCAGGCTCTGCATCCCGCATCGTTTGGGACATTAATTTCACATGAACACACATTCACCTTACGTAACCTATAAACGCGCCGCGGTCGCTGCTACGGCCGGAGAATAGCGCGCATTGAGCCGCTGCAGGTTGCGATGAGGCGCTGCGGTACCTGGAGGCTCTTAATGCGGGTTTGTCTCGTTGTAAACACAAATATGTCAGCGCAGAAACCCGGAGCGCCTCGCTGCCGGTGCTGTTTTTTTGTCGGAGGGACCTCCCCGGGAATCTGGGCGCAACGCGGCGGTGCGTAATGTTCTAATTGGCTTCGCTTGTGCTCGCAGCCATGAGGAGAAGACGAGGCGCATCCGAGGCGGCTGTTTACAGCTGATCTGCCTCTCGGTTTGTCTGCGAGAGCCACAACAATAGCTTCCATTTTCCTCATCAGCCTCGGGCGTAATCGATAGTCAGAGGAAAAATATGATGCTATTATTGGCACGGGTCTGGCACAGACGTCTGCAGCTCTGCCCACAGCTCAGCGCAGAAACTGATGAATCACATATTGATCTTGTGTCTCACCGCTGAGATGAGAATGTGTTTTGGCTGCTGGTAACCTCAAGTGACCTGGCGGCATGTGCTGCTGTGTTTGTGCCCCCTCCAGCCTCCAGCCTCCAGCCTCTCCGCAGCGCAGCCACAGACGCAGCGATGCCCCAGCAGAGGGACGTCTGGTCTGCGTCCCGCCGCCTCGGCCTGCCAGCCGCCCGCCTCCAGACACTGAAGCCCGGCCACGACTTCCCATGAGGCCACCAGCAGCACTCAGCACGACCGCTCTGTATGGGGCCTCTCACATATGAAGTAGGTCCATGCTGCACCCAGAGGTGACACACCTGAAGTGTTCATGTCTGAGCAGCTGCTCCGTCACCTTCAGCATGAAGTGAAGCTGCAGCATCAAGACAGTTCAGACATCAACACCATTCTCTACTGATTCTTCTCACATTTTGGCATTTTTCTCTAAAACGACTGATTGGTTCAGCTGCACAAAACTCACGTCAAGTTCAGCCACACAGGTTTACAGCTGGAGACGAAACCAACCCTCAGTCAACAGCAGATCAATTTATCAGACATTTATCATCTTTAAAAGTTAGATTTCACAGTTTGTAGTCATTGTAGATTCTTATCCAGGAACATAAATGTAAGGACCTCGTCTTGAGCCTGTTTTTCAGACTCAGTTCTTTGATCTGTGACATTTTTTCATGTTTAAATTTGACCTCTTCAGCACCATTTAATGCAAAAACTGAAATCTGAGCAATCCATAAAATTAACCTGCAGGATCGAGAGATTTTAGGAATCACCAGATAGTTTCACTATTTTCTTCCAAATACACTTGCATTTATGTACTTCCACGGACACTTTTTGGTTCGGCTGCACTGAATGCTCCTCACTCTCGGCCAATAAGGTTTAGAGCTAGTTAGAACCTTAAGTCAACAGTAAATCAAATCATCAAACATTTCTAATCTTTAAAAGGTAGATCTGACAGTTTATAGTCATTGTAGATTCTTATCCAGGAACATAAATGTAAGGACCTCTCCTCCAGCCTCCGTTGTTTGATCTCTGACATTTTTCATATTTGGAGTTTATCTCTATGGAACCATTTCAAGCAAAAACTGAAGTGTTCACGTCCAAGCAGCTGCTTTATCGTGTTCACTTCAAAATGAAGCTGCAGGATCAAGAGATTTCCGGAATCAACACGATTTTCCTCACATTTCTTCATATTTGTGCATTTTCTTCTAAAACTACGGACAATTTAAGCCGTTTAAAAGAGATAATCAGAGAAACACAAAATCTCCTTTGGCCGTAGAAACGTCTTCATATTTCCACTCGTTTTCAGGATCAGATGTTTGATCTCTGACATTTATTTAATGTTAAATTATAGCTCTAGAACCATCTTAAGAACAAAAAGCAGCTTTACAGGATAATAAACAGAAGGGCCGGTAAATGAATCTACATAAACATGCTGCACATTCATATTAGTAAGTACCATGGTGCAAAGTTATGTTCACTTTCTGAAAAAAGCATGAAAACTATCTGAAGCACCAGAAAGTTTTCACTGCTGTCTTAGATATTTCTCACATTTTTGCTTCTTCCTCTTAAAACTACGGACAGTTTTTGGTTCAGCTGCACAAAATTCTGCCACAGAAGTTTAGAACTCGTGATGAATAACAGCCAGTATTGAAGAAACTGATTGAACTGACTGAACTTTTAGTCATCAGTGACATCTAAAATCCTAAAAAGTTTGAATTTACAGTTTTTCTCAGTTTCATATTATTGTAAATTCAAATTCAGGAACTGAAATGTTTTTGTATTTTCCTTTTTCTTTCGGGCTCAATTGTTCGATCTGCAGCGCTCATAAAAAATATTCGTCCTTCTTGGAGGTTTCTCTCTTTTATTGTGTCTCAACAGTGAGTTATAGTCAATATAATTTGGCTTTTTGACAAGAATTTACAAAAAAAAAGACACCTTCAATGCCAAAGGAAAACAGATTTCTACAAAGTAATGTCAATATCTAAAAAAATGTTTTTCACTTTGACATGAAAGAGTCTTTTTCTGTCTATTCTTGTCTAAAAAGTCCAATTAAATTGATGTTGAAAAGCAATAAAGGGGAAAATTTCCACAGGGGGTGAATAGTTTAAATAGGCACGAATAAATAAACATATTCATCTATAGTACCAGTTTATACAGAAGATGTTGAAGGTGTTTTACGGGATAATAAAGCCGAAGTTTATCTACATAAACATACTGTATATTCATACGAGAACAATTGTACTAATAGTTCAGGTGACGTGTGAAAATAAAAAGCAGGAAACCTGGTGCACTCGTACAGTTTGGGAATATTTTCAGGAATGGAGCCGTCACTAAAACACCTCCATAAATAAGAAACTCGCAGCTTTGTTTGTTAGTCGACAACAAAGAGACAACTTTGACCAACGAAGAGGCTTCCTGAGAGAGGATAAAAATAAAGCAGAGTCTGAACAGGCGCCTTGTGTAAATGTCGACAACCAAACTCACTACTTGGACTCTGGAGATCATCGTGGTCAAGTCTTTCAGCGCTGAACTCACGAGTTGCGGCTGCATGAAACGCTAGAAACACCGCTGGGGGCTTTACAAATGGAAAGAGAAAAAAAAGAGGCTAATTTTAGTGCACAGCTCCGTGTCAGTGTGGAGGAGACAGTTCAACAACAACACAAACGGGTCTCTGAAATACAGTTTCTAAGTTAATGTTTGTGTTTGACACATTTTTTACGAGCAAAAAAAAAAAAAAAGGTCATGTTGGATTTATTCTGCTGTTTACAGTCGTGTTGTCAGGATAGATAACCTGAAGGATTAAGCTGTTAAAAATCTACTAAACATGCAGCAAAACACATATTATAAAGTCTTAACACCTGAATTCACCTGATGTTGTATCTGGTGTCATTTGAATCACTTTTTTCAGTGTTTTCATGTTTGATTTCAGTCATTAAGTTTTGACCAAAAAGTGGCTGCATCTGTGAAAATTGTCCCCAAGTGCACCAAGTTTCATGCTTTCATGGAAAAGCATTTCAGCAATAAAACTCTATTCTATTCTATTCTATTCTATTCTATTCTATTCTATTCTATTCTAAAACTGAACATATCATCTCAAATTTGGTACAAATCACCTGGACTAAAAGCACAAGTAAATGATAAAAAAAAAAAAAAATACATCTATAAGTTGTTTTAAATCAACAGTCGTCAAAGTTTAGGGATGAAGAAAAGTTTCAAACTGAATCTGAAATTTACAACGCAGTGGGTTGTCACGCTGTAAAACACGCTTTTTTAGTCATTTTTAAACTGTAAATTTAACTTTTATTTTACCGTTTTTCCTGTTTTTCCAGAATAATCAACGACCAAAGAGGGACGGTTCATAAAATGTTCAATGGTAGCCTAATTTTCAGATGAAAAATAAACTTAAAAAACAAAACAATATTTTAAGACAAAATGTTTGTTGAGCAGTACTGCTTGTGCAAAAAACTGCAGCTCCTGATCAATAAAAGTTCACTTTTCTATCTATTTATCAGCCTGAGCTGCTGTTAATAAGAAGCGTTTTACATTCAGTGACATTTTGTGTTTGCAAGAAATTGATTTCTGGTGAAAGCGATCGATAAATTACACAGACGCAGCAACAAAACAACTAAACAGTGTCAAAACTGCAAGCAGCTGTTGAACATTAATATTAAAAAAACAGTGCTAATGTAACATTATTTGGGGATTTAAAGTCAATTTCAGTCACATCTTTTGAGTTATTATCAACAGGAATAACGTCAACATCATCCTTTAATGCTGTTAAATGAATTAGCATCTGAAGCTAAACAGTGTTTTAGAGATAGGTGAGGACATCCAGTAAAGAATAAAACGTCACAGAGCAGTTCATCTTTACTTCTTGTTGACTAAAACAGATTTCTGTCAAAAAAAACAACCAAAAGTCAAAGTTACCACTGTTTCCTCCTCTTCTAGTTGACATGGAGGATGAAGATGGGACTTGTCTACTTGATGTTTTGTGGTGAGTTTTCTGACTCCTGCAGTAACAAATACGATCCTGTAGACCTTCAGACAGCGAGCGCAATAAACTGAACTAGCCACAGAGTCGCCGCACTGAATACTGATTTGACTGATTTTGCGTCTTCTGTCTTTGCAGTGACCCCCAAGCCCTGAACGACTTCCTTCATGGGACCAATGAGGTAACAAAAGAGTCTCAAATAGAGACTCAAGTAAAAAAAATCAATAATGCAAATGATGAATCGCAGATGGAAATATTTCCTGGCACGCGCTCTGTAATGCTGCATTCGTTTCTCTCCCAACCTAAAATCGACTGGTTTCATCCCACCAGCTGCAGACGGAAGACCTGCTCATTAACTCCTCCTCTGGGGAACCTTCCCTCTTCACTGATGCCCCGGTGAGTGTCTGGATCCACAGCCGGCAGCGTCACAACAACCAGCGTCTCCCCCCAGGAGAACCCTGTTTTTCTCTCTGTCTGCGCCTGAAACGGCTTCGTGTTAACCGCTACTAATCACACAATTCTCCCCTCTTTCCACTGCTCTGTCTGCTGCCTCTCCTTCTATCTCCCGCTGTTTCCTCCTCCAGAGTCCCGTCTCTCTGCTGGGAGACGGCAGGCATTCCCCCGACACGCCTCCACCCGGCTGTGTGGATCTGTCGTTCCTGGAGGAGGCCCTCCTGTCATCCCCGGAGGGCGGAGAAGACCCTCCGGACGTGCGGGGCGGACCACCTGTGGAGGCTGGATGCGAGGCCAAGAAAGTGGAGGAGGCGGCGGAGGCGGAGGTGGCCTGCGACATCCTCCAGCAGAGCCTGCAGGAGGCCGAGATCACCGAGCAGACGATGGCTCTGGAAGCAGGTCTGGCACCACCAGGCGACAGTCTGTCCCTGTACTCCCCCTCCCCGCTCCTCTCTCCGCCCACTGTGCCCTTCATACCCAAGTCCGTGACCCTCCCCGTCGCCCCGGCGTTGCCCAGAGACACCCAGGCGGCGGTGGAGCCTCCCCAGCCCTCCCTGCTGGCTGTGGGTCCGGGCTGCCCCTCCCTGAAACCTGCTGCCCCTCCTCAGCTGATGGGGCTCCTGCCTGGAAACGTGTTTCCTGCTGCCTCTCCGGAGACGTCCTTCTCCCTGAGTCCTGCCCAGGCCTCCAGCATGATCATCCACAAGACGATGCCGGGTGTCACCAGCCGCCCCCTGATCACGCCGACGCTGAGGGCGGCGGCAGCAGCGGCACCAGGCATCGTCCTACAGCGAGCCCCCCTCCCCATCCAGCCCAAGCTGCCCATCAGCATCCAGCCCAGACTGGTCCAGATCAGCCCCAAACCCTCCGGACAGAAACCCGCTCCTGGTCTCACCTTCGTCCCTGGGACTGCCTCGCCAAATATTCTGCTGTCCCAGGCTCCGGGCCAGAAGACTGTAGCTCCGCCGCCGCAGCCCCCCCAGCAGCTCCCCAAACCTGTCAGTCTGCAGCTGGTCAACCAGGGCGGCTCCTTCGTGCTCCAGCCTCAGGGACTCTTCCAAGGCCAAAACCAGTTCCTTCTTCCAGGCCAGTCCCCTGTTACGATCTCCCAGCCGGCCAGCGCAGCCCGACCTCTGCTGACCTCCAGCCACCAGGGCCCGGCGGTGCACGGCATGGCCTCCTCCACCGGGCAGCTCGTGGACGGACCTCAGATCCTAACTGTGCCCCAAAGACAGCTGAACTTCAGCCCCGTCTTCACCACCCCCACTGGGCAGCTCGCACTCCGTCAGGCCACTGTGCTTTCAGGACCTTTGCAGCTACAGTCGGCGCCCGCTACCGTCTTCCAGATGCCGGCACAGCTGGCTGGAACCTACACTGCAGGAGGGCAGGGCCAGCGGGCCACTCTGGTCCACAGTCCGGCTCTCGGAAACCACATTACCTTGATCAACAGCTCGGGGGTTCTCCCTCCCGATCTCACTTCCATCTCGATCGTCAACGGGCCCTCGGTGGTTCAGGGGCTTCCCTTCGCTGCTCAGGCACCTCAGACCGGAGTGACTGAAGGTCAGCTGAGCCTCCAGCAGACGTCGGTGGTGCTGCTGCCGGACAGAACAGTTCAGGAGGAGAGGACCAGCTCAGAAGAGAGTTTCCACCAACTACAGCAGGTGAGGAGGCGGTGCAGGTGGAGGATACGCATGACATCTTCTATCATGACATATTACAGGAAGTTAAATCGAGCTTCTTTTTACAGATATCTTTTTTGCCACTGTAGTGTGTGAAATACTGTAAAAATGAAGATGGTCGTTGGTTTGCAGCTGTTCCAACAACAATCAGAGTATGGCTGCAACTGACGATTACATTCATTGTTGATTATTTTATCGATGGGCAGTTTGGTCTTTAAAATATCACAAAAAGTTTCCAAAACCCAAATGACAAATGTCTTGTTTTGTCAGATCCTGAGTCTAAACTCTAAAGATATTCAGTTCAGGTTCAGTTTATTTTCCTGTGTCAGATACTCGTGTGTGTGAGAGGTTAGACACAGTTTGTTGGTTTAGTTTTCTATCGACTGATTCATCAGCTAACCTTTGCAGCTTTATAGGAGAATAAGGCTGCGACTAACAAGTGTTTTCATTGCTGATTCTCAATTAATCAATCAGTTCTTTGGTCTATAAAACGTCAGAAAAAGGTGAAACATGTCAATCAGTGTTTCCCAAAGCACAAGATAACATCTTAAAGTATCTTGTTTTATCCACAAACTAAAGATATTCAGTTCACTGTCAAATGCTGAAATTTAAGAAGATTTAGACAGTTTTTCTTGAACAACTCCTCAAACCAAATCAATTATCAAAATTGGAAGCAACTGATTAAAAAGTGGACAATTATCAGCCAAATGTTAACTAATGAAAACATCAACAGTAATTTATGGGACTACACCTGTTGTTTGGCAGCGTTTTACCTGTTTAGTGCAAATCAGCAGCTTTACATCACAGAGAGACATTTTGCCACAGATGCTGCCGTGTTTTAAGAACTGCTCTCTGTTTCCAGGAATACATTACTTTCTATTCATTTTTCAGCAGCATATGTTTGCAAATTTCCCGCTGTAAACATCAAGTCTGCATTCATCTCCTGTCACTGATGTTATTATGAAGTAAAGCGCTGCAGATTTTTGTAAATGTGATGGATTACACGACTCTGATTAGACTTTCTTCCTGTTTGGAAACCAGCAGCTGCCAGGAAAGGACCCAGTCGCTCTAAAACAGCTGTTTAATGCGCACGTTCTCCCTCTGCAGCCCTATGGACACGTTCTCCAGCATGTGTCGGTGCAGCCGTCCTCCGCAGGGCTTCAGTCTTCGCCTCCTCCTGTGGTCACCATCCTGCAGCCTCCTCCCGAACCACCTCTGGCCCCAGATCCAGCTGTGGAGATGCCCAAACTCCTGATGCCCCCAGCAGACATGACGCAAGCGGTGGAAGAGGTGACCCACTCGATGAGCCAGAACCAGGCCTTTATGCAACATTTGCAACAGGTCAGAGCTTCGGCAAAGACGTTTTCTTTTTTTTTTGGTCATTTTGTGATTTACGAGTTTCAGCAGAGCTGTAAAGTCGAGATATGATCCTCGCTAGATGTGTAGTTGTGCAGAAATGCAGCAAGTTAAAGATGTTTTCAGTAAAAGTTGACAACGGGAGCCTTTGTTTTGAAGCTGTGAAGCCACTACTGGACAAAAAAAGTAGTAGGTCAAAGGAAAATAGTGCTGCAGCAACAAAACTAGTGCCACAATATTATCAGATTAGTCATGAAGTATTAGTCGTAAAACTCACTGATAAATCTAATATATACTTCACACGAGAAACAGAAGAATTCATTCTTACTTTCGACAAACTGCTGATTGACCCTTTGTTGTTGTTGTTGTTTTTTATTAATTGTAAGTATTTTCTTTAATTTCACTTAATTTGTGTTTAATGTTTTACAGTGTACATCTTGTCGGGATTTATTTAAGTTATTATTGATTTAAATTTCAATTTTGTTGCTGGTTAATAAAGTACAAAACTATGGCAGTCCTCTGTTACAGGAGCTCTGGTTAGGCTGAGCTATGTTGAGTTTAATAAGTCAGACTAATTGAGATAAGCCTGACTTATTTGGTAAACTTATGGAACAAACTCCTGCATACATTCATGACAGGGCAGGACGGGGGAAGGGGAGACAAGTCATTTCTAATTTCGAGCATTTTCTATGGGATTTAAAAAGTTTTATCTTAAACACGACTAAATGAAGTAGATGTGCAGCAGCAGTGAAATAATGTTAAGTTGCCTCTGAATCAACATGTTTTGTTATCGTTTCATCCGCAGCAAGCACTTAGTTCTCCCATCTCATCCGACTTGTTGGTCGGATCTTTGCCGGTGGTTCCGATGGAGTCGCTGTCCCCCCCGGTCTCCGGTGACCGAGACTCCCAGCCTCAGACCCATGCTGGTTCCGGTCAGGACTCCCTGCTGTCGGATCAGTGTGTCGAGGTTTCTCCTCTTCACTCGGACCCCGAGGACCCGCCGCTGATCTGCTCCCCGCCTCAGATTCAGGACGCCGGCAGAACAGCTCCGGCTCCATTCTCTCCTCCGGCTGGGCCTCAGATGGTTCTGCCCGGACCCGAGAGTTCAGCCCAACAAACAGCAGCTCCACAGCCCCGAATCGAGCCCCAGGTCCAGTACCCAGCCCCCCACCAGCTCCAGGTCTCACAGGCCTTATTTGGTCAGAGCCAGGTGCAGATCCAGACCCCCGTTTCCCAGCCTCAGCCCTCGGTCCACCCTCCGGTCCACAGCAGCCCGTCCCCCCTGAGGTCCAGCGTCTCGGTGCCTCAGCAGCAGCCAGATCCTTCAGCTGCTGTTCCCTCTGAAGCCGGAGACGACTCCGCTGTCCAACAGCACACACAAAACAGTGAGTGGACCTGCTGCTGCTCATAAAGCAGGACTCCTGATTAAGTTCGTCTGTGTTTCTAACCATTATCACCGTTTCCTCCCTCAACGTCACCTCTGTTATCATCATCTTCATTTCTAATTCCATCATCATCATAATTATGGCATCATTGTCCCTCATCAGAGCCAACAGCTGCCTTGGCCGTGGAGAGTAAAGCGTTTACTCTCGATGTCCATCCACCCTCTCCTGCAGCCAAAGGGGTCCAGAAAGTCCACGGACCTCCAGCTTCCACTGAGTGTCCAACAGTCCAGACGAGTCCACAGACCAGCAGCAAGGTACATCCCCTCACTTTACATACACTAGTAAACAACGTCTATCACGGCAGTCTTTCAGTGACGCTTATAACTCATAATTTTCTGTGACGGAAACACTGAACCACATGCGTCTTGTCACGAAAAACTAAATTCTCATGAGCGATTGCCACTGACCACAGCTGCCGACTCCTCTGAGACATTTTACATTGGGCCCATTTCATACCCTTATCAAACACTACAGTGGGAAAGTCTGAGGAGCTCAGCAAAGATCTGAAAAAGCAAATCATTGACTTGAACAAGTCAGAAAAAGTCACTTGGAGCCAGTTCAAGGTAGCAACAGATCCCAAAATCATCTGCACAAACAACTGTAAGTGCATGGTGCAGTTTTGTTACTGCCAGGATCAGGAAGAAAACACAAACAATCACCTGCTGCTGAGAGACAACTGGTCAGGATGGTCAAGAGTCAACCAAGAATCACCAAAAAGCAGGTCTGCCATGAATCAGAAGCTGCTGGAACACTCGTGTCAGTGTCCACAGTGTTTTACATCAACATGAGTTGAGAGGCTGCAAAAAGAAAGTTCTTCCTCTAGAAGCAGCATCTTAAAACTCCACTGAAGGTTACTGCTGATCACACGGAGGAAAGTCCTGTGGTCAGACGAAACAAAAATGAAGCTATTTGGCCTCAATGTTCAGAAATATGTTTGGAGGAGAGAATGTGAGGCCTTTAACACCAAGAAAACCAAACCTAGTGACAAGCATGGCGGTGGTGGCATCAAGCATGGTGGTGGTGGCATTCTTTGGAAAAACTTCAAATCACCAGCCAGAAGATTGGGTTTGGACACAGCTTGATGTTCCAACAAGACAATGACCCCAAACACAAATCAGAAGTGGTGAAGAAATGGTTAAATCTGACTAGAATTAAGGTTTCAGACTGGTCTGTGGAAAACAGACCACTTTGGAGGCTTTGAAGTGATTATTTGTCAAAGGCAGCAAATGAGTTAAAAAATGCAGGCTCATCTCTGTCCTCTGAACTCAAGCTGTTGTGTGTTTTGCAGCTGGCAGGTCCTGTGGAGCTGCAGAGAGAGGAAAGGCTCACACCAGCAATGCGCAGGCACAGGTAAGATCTGTGTATATATAAATATATATATACACTGCTAAACATATGCACTGCAGAAAACATCACTGAGAGTCAGGAGAATATGAGCACAAGTGTTGTGCTGCTGGAGTGCATCAAAACAACACTTAGACACTCTATTCTCCAAGTAAGGAAGTAGAATTTTGACATCTTTTAAATGCTAGGAGATCCCATATTCAGTACAGTAATGCAAGAGGATTACTTGACAAGAATTTATTGATATCTAATTTGATTTAGGATGCCAACTCATGCTTTGAGCTACATGCAGGAAAACCTTCCACCTTAAACTTTGCTTGGTTGTCTTTTTATTTATTTATTCTTTTTTTTTTTTTAAACTACTAAAAGGCTGCCAAACAGGCTCATATTTCATCCTCTGTACGTTCAGGCTAACGCAGCGTTTTCACTTTGTCCCTTCAGGTTCCAGCAGCAGCTCTGTTTGGACCACGGAGCCGTGCAGACCCCGTTCACCGGGCCGGCCTTCTCCACGCTGAAGGACGCCGTGAGACGCCTGCTGCCGTACCACACCTGCGCCGGTCACCTGCCCACTCAGGATGACTTCAATTTAGGTCGATATAAATTAACTGTGGTATTTAGGTTTAGTTTACTGCCACCTGACTTGTGTTTCAAAGGGTTTTTCTCCTCCTTCACCAACGAAACATGAACAGAGTCGTCGATAGTATACGCCAGCTCTAACATCATTTTGTTTCTGATCCTCTCTGCAGTGGACCAGGAGTTCGACACCGTGTCCGGTTTCCTGCTGAAACGCACCAAGGACATGGTCAATAAATACAGGCAGCTATTGGTTAGAGAAGCCCAGGTGAGACGCTGCTCTCCTTCTACGTTCACCTGTATGCAGTGTTCAGATCCTTAAGTAAAAATATCAGTACAGCAATGGAAGAATACTTCAAAGTTCTGCATTAAAAATCCTACTTAAGTAAGCATCTTGAATTATCTGATTTTTAGAACAACTTCTGCTTGAACATCTCTGGTTTGCCTTGAATTTTTAGAGCACGAACATGTTTGTTAATAGAACATGTTTAGGTTTGAATTACTTTATTTCTGGTTTTATACACAGAGACAGCAGATAAATGTGAGGGCTCCAAACACGATTAATCGGAGAGAAAAGAAGAAAGGTTCTGATACACAAATCAGTTTGCAGATTGTGGATTTTTTTCTCTAATCTTTTGGTGAGGTATTGCAGTTCTGAGAAAATCACAGATTGTTGGGGCTGTTACTAACTTATAGACACTTTGATTGTTTGTCCGCCTACATGTTCTTTGTAAGAAGCTTAAAAGTTGGAAAGTTTCATCTTTAACACATTTTTGTGTTTTAAAAACTTGTTATATTATCGATTGTGGGGAATCTTAATGTTAAAAAAGCTGTCAGATAAATGTAGTAGAAAGCACAATCTGTCCCTCTAACATATAGAAGAGTGGCAGTATAATGTAGCATTACGTGAAAATACCTCAGAACTGTATGAGAGTACATGTACGAGGCTATGTCCCATCACTGTCTTACTTAACTTCATCTCTAACAAAGATCATTAAATCTGAGTTGGTTCCTCATGTACACTTTGTTTTCACCAGACAGCTGCAGTGAGTAAATCATCTCTCATGTTTAAGTGAGAATCGAGTACAAATATTCACCGTCTTCACTGTCTGATCTGGTTTCCACAGCAGGAGAGTCCGTCGGCGGAGATGGTGATGCTGGAGCGTCTCTTCCTTCAGGCCGAACGCTACGCTTTAGCGGAGGACAGACGACGAGCCCGCAGAGACCCAGGTCAGCGTCCCAGCAGGACCAAAACACTATTATTATCACACCACAGAGGCTCAGGAAAGACGCTGCTTCAAATCCCAGTGCAGAGAGAAAATCTGGACCGACGGGGGAAAAGCGAATTAGTGACACTTTTTTTTTTTTAATACAAACTAATTTAGTGGTGCCTCAGAGCGCGGCACTTAACCTCCATATTTGCTCCGGAGCAGCTCCCAGGTGTGAATGTGTAATTAAGCTGTATAAATGTGGAGCAGGGTCGTGCTGAGAAAGACTCGGAAAAATTACATGTGAGAGGTTAAGAGCAAATTAAAGCGGGGTTGTTATGTTAATTAAAAAGTTGGGAAGGAGCCTCTTGAAGACTGTTAAATGTCAGGCTGCTGCTGCTGGACTTCTGATGGAATAATCATCCAGAAATAGAACGAGAATCTCTTATTATTAAGCGAGAACCTTCAAATTCATTAACTTATTTCACTCGCAGCGACAGCGCGCATTAATAAACATTGCTGCTAATGTGTCACAATTAGGAAAAAGTCTTATTTCATGTGTCGTCGTTGGACAGCGTCACACGGTCCCACTGAAATAGTACATTTAAATAAATCCAAATGGATTATCAAATAAAAAAATTGTGGATTTTGACACGAAACCTTCAACTAGAACATGAACTTTTATCTTCTCAGTTTAGTAGCTTCACCACTAAATTAAAAAAAAAAGATAATTGTACTGTTGGGCTAAATATAAACTGCTAATTAGCCACAATATTAAAGCCACTGAACTTGTTTAAAATCATAAACTAAGGATATTAAACATGGTATCTGTGGAATTTTAGATTGCTATAATGAGTATATTTCAAGATTTTTATTTTATTTTATTTAAAAACTGCCCCTTTTAGCCCATTTTTCACAAATTGAGATTTAAGGTTATGTTTGAATGAAGCTGTTTTAACGTTCAATGGCACAGTTTGAACATTCCAACTTAGAGATAAACAACTTAATTTGAACTAATTACATTTACACTGTGATTTGTCAGAATCCTAAATATATCTGCAACGTCTTTCTGACCAGTCAAACCAGTTACAGATATCTGTAATTTAGTTGTTTGTTAAAATAAATAGTCATCGTGATAAGTACACAAGTCAGGCCACACTAAGGCGTTACTAAACGGACTTTGACTAGCTGGAATTAAAACTACAGACATCAACAACTTTATTTTGGCTCATTACACTGTGACTTGTTGGAACTTTTTTCCCAGATATCTATAACGTCACTCTGACCAGTCAAAGCAGACGTAATACCAGCTCATGTGTTGGATAAGATTCGCAGAAAATGCCATGAAACGTTTCACCTCTCATCCAAGAGGCTTCATCAGTTCTGACTAGTTGGGAATTCCAGATACGTATATCCTTAAGGAGCCATTAACACTTTATCACTTCAGTTTTGGTTTCAGTTGGGGGTTTGTTGCTCCTCCCCCTCGTTATGCGAGTCGTTAGTACTCCCCCTGCCACAAAGGGGATTTCGTTAAGGTCTTTGTGGCTAGGTGTGAATGTGGTTTCATCTTCTTGGGGAGACTTGTTAGGGCTGAATTGTAAACAGGTTAGAAGTGATGCCTCAGACCTCCACCTCTGCTGAGGGATGGTCTTTCCAGTTTGACATCGATGGCTTCTTTCTCTCCTCTCTCAAACCATCTGTCCTCCCTGGACAACATCTGTACATTATTGTCCTCAAAAGAGAGTCCTTTGTCCTTAAGAAGCAGGTGGACTGCTGAGCCCTGTCCTGAGGAGCTGGCTCTGAGGAGTCAGTCAGGACTGATGAAGCCTGTTGGATGAGAGGTGAAACAGCTTCAAGAAACTCAAGCAAGTCCAGTTGCAGCGATTAAACTATGAGAATAACCATGACCTGGATGACTGAGCATCGTCACAGACATGCGTATGTCATCTCATAGGGCTTCACATATTTTGAACCAAGAACAGAGAACTCAACAATCCAAAGTTGCCTTCAGATTCCCTATGAGCCAGCAGTCAGTGACAGTGCGAAGGAACCAAAACAAAATCTCCTTTAATGGGACGGGTGGCCATCTGCCCTGACCAGTTGGGGTGATGGTGGGGATCCAGTGTAGCTAGTAAATCCTAAAACAGCTTGCCATACTAACCTGATCATCTCTTCCCTCCAGAGTCCTTCATGACGGCCTTGTCTTCGTCAGCGTCTTCCCCTCATGGTGCCCACTCCTCTGGTTCCTCCAACCTCTACTCCTCCTCTGGCAGCCCTTCATCTCCACCAGCCTGGACTCGGCTGTCCGACCGGCCGCCGGGCCTGAAGACGTACCGCTCCAGCTCCCGCGGCGCGCTCAGACTCACCATCAAGCAGGAGTCCGGCTCCCGTAAGGTGATCCACAACTCGGCCTGCGACCCGGGGCTGAAGAGGGACCACACGGGGCAGCTAACCAACGGCGGCGGGACGAACGAACGCCACTCGCCGGCGCCCAACGGAGCCACCCAGCATCCTCAGCACGACGAGGAGATGTCCAACGGCAACACCGCAGCAGAGGAAGCCCCTCAAACGGCGCCCAGTTCCAAAACGAAACCCCCGAACCCTCTTTCTATGCCGGACGTTTGCTCCGAGTTGCCTCCCAGAGATGTCAGCGCCCCAAAACTGAAATGCTACAGGTTGGATGCGTCTCCTCGGCCGGAGCAGCGGTTCAGCCCGCCGCCTCCGCCCCTCCAAGAGGACAACATGCTCAGCGAACACCTGCAGAGCGCCATCGACAGCATACTGGAGCTCCAGCGCCTGCAGGGCCCGTCGGCAGCCCCGACCAGAACCACGTCGGGCCCCTCGCTGGACCAGGCTGTCACCAGCATCCTGGAGGGACACCTGTGAGGTAAACCCACCCACTAAAAACATCCGTCTGAGGTGGAACAACCAGACTTCTTCTCTGTTTCCCCAAAAGGGTTTCAGATTTTACTTTTTAAGGATTGTTTGAAGGAAAAAGGCGAAGGGAAAAAAAATTAAGAGGCACTATAAAGAGATGCATACCAGACAACAGCACTATCTATAGTCCGATAGATGTTAGATACTTCATTTTGATGTACGTTTGTGGAAAAAAAAAAATCTATTTGAATAGGAGCTATATTGTTTCAGTGGTAGTTAAGTCATTCAGAGGTTTACGACACTGGTGTAACCTTCATCAGCATATAGTATATAAGTAATAGTGAGGATAACGAAAACGTGGAGTAGACTGAGATTATTCAATAGTTTTTTATAAGATTTCTTTCAACAACAACAACAAAAAAAAAACAAAAACAAAAACGTGGAGTTTCTTTTGCATAGTGCCAAGCTTCCAGGGTATTTATTTTGATAATCTGTGCCAATTGTGTTTTGCATTGAGAATGGCAGCGAATGTGGAACGAGAGCGTGCGAGTGTGTTTTCATTAAGAGTGAGTGTTGAAAACATTGCATCCTGCGACGGGACCGAAACCTCCCGCAGGCTCCATCATCTCGGCTTAACGAATGAAACTCCAAAGAAAATTTGTGACTTGCTACATCCTGAATACACCAGCAAACGTCCATGTTGTGTCTCTTCCCACAAACTGGAGTCCGTCCTTGTTAAAGCAGAAAGAAAAACCGAGTGGGGCACAAAAAAAACAACAACAAAAAAAAAACAAACACATGAGGCAGTCGTGTTTTTCTTTATCTTTTATTTTTTTAAGTTTGGAGTCTAACTGTGAAATATTTTTCTGTCTGTTTTCAGAGACAAGAATGGTTTCCCATAACTGTATGTATTAACATGCAAGCAATAATAATAAGTTAGGGTTGTTGGGAGCAGTGGTGGTGCAGTGAGGAAGAGAAGGAAGAGGAAGGAGATCTTTGCCTGTTTTGCTTATTCATTCGATGAAAACCAAGATTGTTTTTCAGGAATGAGAGATGCTTTTTTTTTTTTTTTTTTTAATGTCATCGCAGCCCGTGTAGTTCAGAAATTTCTAAACATGTTTCAAGGGCTTGAGGGTGACTTATAACGGCATCGATGACCATGAAAACAAACGAAAAAAAAAAAAAAGAAGAAAGAAAACACCAAAACTGACAGAAACTGTACAGAACTTGAGCCTCTCTGCATCGTCAAACAGCCTTTGACCAAAAACTAGAGGAATCATCCGCTTCTCTTTATTTATTAAATTATTGGTTTGTAGCCGCGCCGAACGTTTATTTTTCACGCCGCCATTGTGGAGCAATATATGAGTTTTTTGCAACATCCTTACGTTAACGTGACAATCTTATTGGTCTGTATGAAAATGTGAATTCTGTTCTGTACGAGAGTCACCTGTTCGTTCGACTCTTCCTCACGAAACGTGCAAAAGACGGATTTTTACCTTCAAGGTCGAAATGCGAAAGCTGCAAAACGTCTTTAATTTTTTTGTATTATTAATTGAAAACGCGCTTCGAAATTTTGGAGTAGGGGGTTAAGGTTTGACGAATTGGAAAGGTTTAGAAAATGCCTTATTGTTAATTCAGTGTACCTTTAAGGAAATGGAATCTGCAAAGAAAAGATAAATGATGATCTGAAATGTGAAAGTAACCTGTCCCTTCTAAAAAAAGAAAAGAAAAACATCTGGAGATTTGGGGCTAAATCAAACAGGCACTCATTTCTGGAATTGCATTGTCATTTCCTTTTTTTTTTTTAATATGTAAAAAATGTCTTTTGTTGGAATGAACAAAAGGAGTTATAATATGCAGTAATTTAGTGTTGAAGCTCTCTGCAGTAGTTCGGGTGGAAACACACAGGAAGATGCATAAAGGAGTCGTCTGAGCTTTGGGGAAATACGCTTTCTTGCTAAAAGTACGATAAAGAGATTGACACCGCTGTCCTGTCGGTATGCTAACTATAAAGCTACAGCTAGCAGCCACTTAGCTTAGCTTAAAGAGCCCATATTCTGCTTGGTTTTTCCCTTTACATTAGCGTGTTGTAGCTTTATTTAGTTCTGCAAACTTACAAAGCCCTAAGTCCACGCTGAAGGGAGTTTTTCTCTCCCAGAAAACACATTCCTGAAACAAGTCGCTTCAAGGCTTTTTTTCCCCCTGCATTACTTATAAACATGTAACACATTTGCGTAAGGCCTCCCTTGCAGCTAGTTTGGACTCCGAACATAGAATTAGCAGCTTCCTTGCTAGCTGCTAATGTTTCCTCACCAAAGCTGCTTATGTTTCCTCACCAAAGCTGCTTATACCAGGGCTACGTCTCTCTGCTCACACTCAGAATCCAAGTCCCAATTCAGGGAGTTCAACCTCTGAACATGTCTCTGTGAAGACCAACTCATGGTTTCTGCATGACCGATGCCAACTGTAACAGCAGACAGCTGTACGTTGGAAGACGGTTGAATTAGCCGTCATATCAAACACAAAAAAACACACTTGGCTCCTGTGGATGTTTCTGAAATCTCGTGACTGCAATTCTTTTTTCTTTACAGGAAACAGTAGTTACTTACAGATTGGACTGCAGTTGTAATTATGGCAAAAGTGTGCCAGGCACCTTGGTGAGATATCTGGAGAATGTAGGATACACAGTATATCTGGAGAATTTAGAACTGTGCTTCAGCACCGTCGCTGCACAAATCAAAACACCTCCAAAAGTCGACTACTCAAGTTACAAGTCTTTTATTAATATGTTATAAAGGTGTGGATGATGGAGAATCTGCTCTTGCAGCCTCTCGTCACAACAAGGACTTGTTTTAGGCACCATTTGTTTATCCTGCCACGTCCACGTGGACCCTCGTGGTCTTGGGTAGTTGACATTTGCGTCACATGTAGCCTTGTGGATACATGAACGCAGAAAGCTCGACTTAGCTCCATAGATCAGGTCGTCTTTTAAAAGGCCTGATCTTCCACCGTTATTGGCCAAAATGTAGCAGTGGCAGCAAAAGACAAAACTGGAGTTGCCATGACGAAAAGGAAAGCCTTTTTTTGGGTCCATTTTGTCATTTTAATGTATACTAGGGTAAATGATGATGAAGGATGACCCAATACTTGGATTTAAAGGTGTTATTTTATTGATTGACAAAGTTCCACCTACAGAGTTGGTCACTGTTCAAAGTCCAACCAACAACGATGCACAACGAATTTTGGGATTGGTTGGACCACAAGTGATCCACCTATACTTTATTCTAATAAACCCACAGAATAAAATTATAAACCTGTAAATGAGCTTAGTGTGGGCACTTTAAGGGCTACAAAAGGGGAAAACGGCTCGTCCAAACTCTGCTTACCAGCACTGCGAAAGCCATGTCTCTATGCTAAGCTAAGCTAACTAGCTGTAGCTTAAGATTTACCAATGGTACAAGAGCAAGAAAGTTTATTTCCCAACATGTCTACTCCTTGTGCAGAATTCGCCCCACAATTTAAAGTGAAACAAACCAGAAGCGACGGAGTCTTCAGGTGTGTTTCCACCCTCAGGGGTTTCGCTGTAATGCAGTAAAGATGTCAGAGTGTCTTTCACAACAGGATTGCACTCTTTGTCACCGCTAAACTTCTTAAAAGGGGAATTCCACCAAACTTTACTTGCGTTTTTATTTTTTAAGAAAGTATTTCCCAAAGTTTGCCCATATGTCGCCTTGTTGATAAATCAAGGACACAAGACGAGAGAAAAATAAAGTCAACTTTGATGGAATCCCCTTCGACGGAGCAGCCTCATGTGCCATTGTTATTGTCGCAGTGTCGAACACTGACCATTAGAAATATGCTTAGTTTTCGTCAGCGTCTTAGGACAAAGGGATTCTGCATGTTGAGCCATTTTATTTATTTGTAAATGTGCTTTATTTAATTTTCCTGATTGAACTGTGAAACCAGGGGAGCTCATAACTCTACACTAATTCAACTTCAGATACAAACATTTGACTGACAGATTGTTCTGATGCCAAAATCAAGAGGCCTTAATTCAGCAAAACTAGATTGTAAAAAAAGAAAATGTCATTCCTGACAAAAAAAAATCCAACTAAAGACTCCTTTGACCTGAAAGTCACGAGTGATTCATATATGAAATGTTAAGAAAACCACTTTTGTACTCATTTTTACAGACTATTTATTAAACTGTGATTTTGTAAGAAATAAAAAAAGTGAATGTGGTCGTGTCTTCTTGTTCATATGCAGATATGTGTGTGTTCGCCACAGAATCAAGTCACAGAACATTAATACAAACATGAACTTTATTTTTTTTAATTTTTTTTATCATTCACAATTTAGGAAAACAGCTTCAGGGCTGGAAAACACGATTAAATACAAGGCAGCTGCTTTCATAATTTAATATTGTAAATAAATTCAATCACACCCGAGATGAAGATCTGCCTTGCAAAAGGGCTTTCATTCCAATCATCACATCAGAGTTGGCACCTTTTCCTCACTGTGCGTTTTGGGTTTTGCGAAAAGACGTCGTCGTAAAACGGCTGTAAACTGAAGCGGCGTCGCGTCCTGTTTGGTTAAACCTCCGGTCGGGTTCGGGGGTTAAGAGGCACATTAAAACATGAGCCATGGAGATTTCCGAACCGTCGGGAGAATCAGCAGCAGGACGCAAACGTCAGGAGTTTAAATGACCGACTCGAAGGCGCCACCTTTACTCCGCTTGCACTCCACTCCCTCTGCGAGAGAATAAACAAAAACCACCGAGATGGAACATTTTCAGGCCCGACGGCACCTCGACAACAAACTCATCCTTTAAAAGAAGGAAAATCTGATCTCAAGATGTTTCCTCATTGATCGACCTGAAAAAGAAAAAAAGCCGAGTGGAGCTGCAAATAATTTAAGGCCATATTGAAATGACCCGTCTCCTTGCAAAGCAAATCATTTATTCTCAGACTGATGACGGCAACAAGCTGCGAACCTGCAGGGGGGAAGTGGAGGCTGGTTATTAAATGTAAGGGGAGATTAAGAGCAGGCTGCAGCTTTTAGTTTTTCCTCTAAAAATCAGTTCTTGATTTCAATATCTTAACGATTTTCATAAATAGTTACAGATCTCGTTATAAAAAAAGTGTCCATATGCAATCAGGTAACGTCCACGAGGTTAGTGTTTCTCAGATTCAGTGCTGGATCTCCTCCACAGTTCATTCATTCCACTGATATCCATGGCAGAGCAGGAACTTCACATTTCCATCCCTGCGTCCGGATTAGTGCATTCATCTGCCCGCTTAAAAAAACAGAAGCAATTCGATAGAGTGGCTTTTGTGACGTTTGGGATGAGAAAATACGAGTTTCCCGTCAGTTGAGTTTGATGGGCAGGTCCTCTCCATATTTGCGGAGAAACTTGCCGTGGTTGTGGTCGACGGACCAGAGAGGAGGCAGGTGACGCGGCTGCATGGTGGTGAGGAAGTGCTGCCTCCAGCGACGCTCCAGGTCCATGAGGCCTCGCAGGCCGAGCTCAGCGTGAGTTCGGACCACCTTCAGACCGTGAGGCACGTACGCCTCGTTTAATATCCTTCAGAGGAGAGAGGAGCAGTCAGAGCAGGCAACATGCAGCTCTGCAGGCTGGACGCAGCAGAGCAACAGAACGAGGAGATTAAAGCTGCTGCTGGCTGCTACCATCATCATCTGGTGATTACGGTGACCGACAGGGGGAAATGACGCGCGTATACACAAACGAGCTACGAAAGGAAAACGCTGCACATCCAGTCACACAACAGAAGTGCCACAGGCCTTTGGGGGCAGTAGTGTCTCCATCTAGTACGATCACACCTATCTAGACTGTTTTTCTCCTGACTAGAACCTTGCTTGTGTTGTATCCGCTCTCAGATGTAGGTCGCCTTGGATAAAAGCATCTGCTAAATGAAACTGTTGTGAGCTTTTCACCTGAGAGGCAGACAACGGTGAGCAAGACAAGTAACGTTAGTTGAAGGAAAAGATGCATGAAAAGGTTTGTTTTCTTTGGTCTCCATGGATAAACATAAAAAACAGGGAGACGGTAGTAAAGCACCACTTCAGCACCATAGAATCACAGTAAATCAGGGGTGTCCAATCCTGGTCCTCGAGAGCCCCTATCCAGCATGTTTTAGATGTTTCCTTCTTCCAACACACCTGATTCAAATGATCAGGATCGTTATCAGACTTCTGCAGAGCTTGATGATGAGCTGATTATTTGAATCAGGTGTGTTGGAAGAAGGAAACATCTAAAACATGCTGGATAGGGGCTCTCGAGGACCAGGATTGGGCACCCCTGAAGTAAATGAAAAGACAAAGACTTAAAAACTGCCCCTCGAGGCCTGTGGCACTTCTGTTGTGACTGGATATGCAGCATGTTCTGTTTGCAGTGCGTTTCTGCTTATGCAACATATATGCAGCTCGTTTGTGTACGTGCACATCATTTGCCCCCGTCGGCCGCTGTAGGTAATAGCTTAATGTATATATGAGTCTGAGCAGGCAACAATAACTGCAGCACAGAAATGCAGAAGTTATATCAGAGGAAACTGTAAATGTTCCTCTCAGTAAGGATCTGAACTCCCAGCAGTTTGAGTGGTTTTTTGTTTTTGCTTCTGTGACATTTTTTTTTTCTTTGTTTACTGCAATATAAAGTCCTGCACCTGTATGGAAATGGCACAACTATGACTGGAAATAGAGAAAACGGTTTTCTGTGCTGTATGACACAAATAAAATGCCATACATCATAAAAAAAGAAAAAGAAAGCTGAATTTACTTACAAAAATAAAAACACCTGGAATCAACATGTACAAAATGCTTTTCGATTTCCCACATGTGTTGGCAAGACTGGGTGGCTTGACGAACTAGAGATATTTACCTAATCAAAACAGACACAGTCCTGCTCTCATGCGTCACATGTTAAATCAGCTTATGAGCAGCTGACTGTAAACTTTTGTCACTGTTTGTTTAAATGCTGGTGCTTTTAATTGGCACGTGAAATGATTTCTACCTTCCTGTTATTAAAACGTGCTGCTCAAACAAATGAGAGTAAAATATTATTCATAGGCTGCTCTTTTTTATTTATTATTTCTTGCTCTGTGGTACAAGCAGCACAAACATATTCAGTATTTCTGGTCTGACTGCTGCCACAGTGCTGGAGTTGCTTTAAAGTTTCAGCATTGAAAAGGTCATTTATGCATTAAAATAAACATTTGTGTGGACCAGCAGCTGGACTAACTAGATTTTTGGGTATTTTTTCGTATTTCAGAGGGTTTGTCTTTAAATCTCTCGTGTGTTTTAGGAAATTTAGTTCAGTTTTGGTGACATTTAACCTAAATGTCTCGAGTCGCAGCTCACCTCGTCTCCAGACCGGCCGCCTGCTGCAGCGCCTCGTCCGTCAGCTCCTGCTCCTCGTTCATGTCCAGGAAGCTCTTGATCAGAACCTGCAGCTCGTCTCGCCGCTGCTCCGGCAGTCCCTCGCCGGCGGTGAGCAGAGCCCGGGCCGCCGACCGCACTCGCCGTCGGTCCGAGTCCTCCAGCAGGCGAACTCCCTCCTCGCAGCCCTGAGGGGCGGCGAACTCCTCGGCCAGCTGCTGCTTCAGGAAGCCGTCGTGCACGTTGGAGGCGGCGTGGCAGCTGGTGCAGAGCAGCAGGATGTCGTGGGAGTTGTGGTCCTTCATCTCGGTGGGAAAATGTCGCCTGTACTCGTGTGGAACGATGTTTTTTCTGTGGGACCGGAGAAAGTCACAAGTTAGTTGCTGCTGCTGCTGAACTCTGCATCTTAAGTTACTGATCTGACAACATGTACGACACACTGAGGATCCTTTGAGTTTCTAAACACATCATCTGAAGCTGAAATCGTTGATGCACAGATAAAGTAACTGACTATTTGGTTGATTGGTTAATTCTGGTCATTATTTGTCAAGCAAGCTTTAAAAAATTCACTGCTTCTGTGGTGGAGGTCGGAAAAAAGACGCAATTTCTCGACTAAGTGATTATTTTCAAACATTAAAAACACACTGAAGTAAGTTGGAAGGTGAGTTAGTGCGTCAGACCTGATGTAGGAATCTGCTTTTCCACAGACCACACAGAGATTCTCCTTAGCGGTGAGATAATAATCCTGCTGAGAGTCCGGACGTCCCGAGGGCTCGAACAGCAGCCTCACGACGAACGGATCTTTACTCTGAAGCACTGAATCACAAACAGACGGGTTTTCACTTTCTGAGCCCAGACTGGACATCAAACTCTACTTTACATACAACTATCTATCCAACTGTGAACTATCTACAAAGAAGGCGTACCTCCTATTCCTTTATCGAGGTACCACTTGGCTTTCTTCTTGTCGCAGGTACACAGAGGTTGACCATCCGGAGCGTGGAGGAAGCAGTTATCATAGAGAGGAGACTTTCTGGAAGAGGCAGAGAGACAAGCAGCCATATTTATACAGGTTTATATTTATACCTTCCAGAAGAAAAAAATAGGATAAGAAATGTAATTCTGCTCTGTTGTGGAAAGATGATATGGAGAGAAAAACTACATCATTACAACAGGGGCACATAAACACTTTTCCTATTGGATTGTTGCAAATAGGTTCCAAGTTTTTAAACCTTAACTGTGTAAAACTGTCAGTCACACAGTTGGGTAAGTTTACAAACACTTCTATCAAGGTAATATTGAGTTTCCAATGGCTTCTACAACAAAACTGATCATCTAAGTTGCTGTGTGTATATTTGTTTGTTCACAACTGTATACAGCGCTTAACAAATCTATTAGACCACGACCCGATGTAAGGTTTATGTCACAGCTGCCCGAAATGAACAACATTCGTAATTACCAAAACAACTTTTTATGTTTCTGTAATGATTAATACACGAGTATGAAGACGCTTTTTAACCAAAAACAATATTTGTAATGCTGAAATATAATTACTATTGTTATCCAGGAATTTTCTAATTTACTGTTCAACAAAAAAAAAAGTAAAACAATAACACACATTATTATTTCCTGATGAAGATGTCAGATTATAGTTATTTACTTGCATTCCTGAACAGAAAAAAATTGTTTTAGTGGCTGAATGATGTGCTTGATTCATGTCTGATCCAGTGAGTCAGCTTAAATTTGGGCATAAAAAGGTAAATTCCGTTTGAAATTCCTCATTCCTGTTTTAAAATGGTAAAACATGGAGAGCTGAGTGTGAATTAAAGCACTTCCTGATGCTAGATGGTCGACATATACATACGGTGCTTAACATATCAGACAGGTGGGCTAATAAATTTGTTAAGCACTGTGGTAAACGTTAACCTTACAGCTTAAAAGTAATTTTCCGTTCATAATGCCCCAAACTCATTCACAGCTGGTTCATCTTCAGACATCACAATAACCACCTCCTCTGCCTCCAGTAACAGAAGCCTCTCCTCACCTGGCGGAGTAGCCCACACCCAGCGGTTTCCTCTTGTTATTCTTTCGAGGGTCTGGGACTTGCTGATCTCCAGACTCTGGGCTTTCGAACACTGGCTGCTTTCTCGTCTTCCGCCTCCTCTCTCCATCGCCGGGCTTCTCGTCTCTGTCTCCTCGGCCCCTGAAGGGCACGTCGACCAGACCCTGGCAGCGGGAGGCCAGTTCAGAGTAGGAGCTCCCGCTGGAAGAGGCGGAACCGGCGTCGGGCCGGAGGCCGAGGAGATGGAGGAAGAGGGCGATGGAAACCTGGGCATCTCGGGCTGCGTAAGTCATCTGGAGGGAACAGACGGGGGAAGATCTGAGTATTATCCAGCACTCGAAGATGTTTCTTTTCATGTCATGTTCAACGTTTCTTCAAACAGAATCCCTAGTCTCCACTGGGATACTGTTAAAGACCACTTCTTTTATCTGTTTCAGCTGGATTCCTGAGTCGGTTTGGCAGATGGTTTTAAATACTACAACACCCATGAGTCTTGGCTGTTGCTGCCATGAAGGAGAAGCAGTCAGTAAAAAGCAGGATTTGTAGTTGCAGCTGAGGGATAAACAAGTCCTTCAAACTGCAGATTGTATTATCAGTTCTCTCACCAGCATAAATCTACTGGGTAATATTTTACCCCCAGTTAGCGGGTGAACATTACAGGACTTTAAGCTCTGTGACTGGACGTTTCTTCCCAAAATGCACTTCAGATTTCATGTGCACAGGCTTGTATCTTTGCCCTCTTACAGAAAGAAAAGGCAATTTTCTGTTCTGCCATAAAAGTGCTCTAACTGTCAGTCACCTCAAATTGTCTGTAGAGGAAATTAATTGAATTTCTAGAACCAGAGGCTCCCAGAATAACTTTCTCCATTAACCCTCTGATCCCTAAAACCTGCTGCTGGGGCTCGAAAAGCATGCTGTCCATAACAACAACAACAAAACTTTCTATTTATTAGGGCAAGACACTGCAAAAACTGAAACAACTGTTGGATGATATTAGCAAAACTTATCTTTAATCTGTGATTAAAATTGTGCCATGTCATCAGACTCACTTTATTCTACATGTCTGATTTAAAAATTCACCAAAATACACAATTTGCATTAGATTCTGTAAACTTTTTTTTTTTAAAAATAAAAAAAATTGCCAGTTCAACAAAGAAAAAATGACTGATTAAGCCGTGACCATCATCACATGATAAAAAATTCTGAGACTCTTCGCTTAAAATGCTTGGAATTCAGAGGGTTAAGTCTTTCAGTCATTTACTGAGTTAGCTCAGAAGATATGAAGACCATGGAGCGACCTGTAATTTAATTGCCCCTACCTGCTCCAGCGTCAGGTGATCTGCTTCCCAGTCACTGCAGCGCAGCTCCAGCGATTTATCCAGAGATACATTCAATAGATCTGCTGCCAGAGACTTCAGGCTGAGGCCGTTACTCACTGAAGTTTGCCTAAAAGAAATGCAGAGTTGAAAAACATCAGTAAGCAGTTTAAATAACTTACCAAAGTGTGACTGTAAGACAAACAGCTACTGCCCAGCTGTACCTCTGTCTTAAGGCGAGGTAACGCAGGTCGACTGTGCACGACAGCGACAGACCGTAGTCACGTGTCAGACGTTTGCCATCCTCATAGCAGCCGACGCCAACCTTCAGGATGTGCGGGTCTCTGAGGACTTCCATCAAGCTGAGCGGAAACGGCTGCTGCCCGCTGCGAAACGCCAGCAGCCTCACCAGGATGCACAGACCCGAGTAGGAGGCCATCTGGAGCAGGGAGACCGCGGAGGTCCGGCCCTTCACCGAAACCTGTGACCAAACACAGCAGCCGGGTCAGACGAGAGTCGGGTTTAATCATGAACGAGGATGTTTCAAGGACAAGTCCACCCAGCAGATGATCTCATACTGCTAGAAATTAGCAATCTGATGTTAAATCTTCAAACATGAACTTTTAACTGACTTCTTCAGCTTTTGATGAGGAACAGTGACAGACATTATTTGCTTTGATTGAGAAAATAATCGAAAACTTAATCAACAGTGGAGGTAACAGTGAGTCCTAATAAACATTTGTTGAAACTGTTGCTGAATAGTTTTGGTAACAAATCATTGTAGCCCCATACATTTAAGTAGATTCTACTTTATCTGTAAATATGAATGTGATTTTGCATTTGTTATACTTTTACATTGCATTTTGTAACTGCACAGACCCAACCCCAATCCTTTGTTTCTGTTGTCTGGTAGGTGTTGGAAGTCAAAAAAAAAGTTCTTCAATGATATATTAGTTACCAAAAATGGAATACATTGATGATTTGTATTGTGGCAATAAAACTATTTAAAGACACATGATAGAGGCCACAAAGGCAGCTGCTGAGCCCCACTGGATATTTATGCTGGTCAGAGGTCATTAAGTGTCATGGAAGACTTGGTCATGGTGCCACTTCACTAGCTAACCTACTACAACGCCTTCTGCTTTACAACACAGAACTGCCCATCTGCTCTCGTCACGGTCATATAAAAAAGTGAGAAGCGCCATCTTGTGGTGCAATCAGGTACTACAGATACAATACTTGAAGTGTGCATGATGTAGGAATACTGTATCGGGATATATTAAATATCAATTGACCCCGATTGGATAAAAGGCAAACAAACATTCAAACTCAAGATCAAAACAAACATTTGAGCTATTTTTGGAGGCAAAGCTTTGAGATTTAGGGTGGATTTATCCTTTTTATATGAAAGCATGCAAAAGATATTTCTTACGCCTTTGATCTTTACCCATTCACAGTCCAGCCCCAGCACTGGGAACACTGAAAGCTCCTTCTGCATCAGCGGCCACATCTGCTGCCACTCCTCTTCAGAGCTCACCATTACCGGGTTCACCCCCAGCAGCTGATCAGAAGTCGGGATCTGGACCGGAGGTGGCGGTTGTTGCGTGGTCTGACACTCCACAGACTTGACCTCCTTCTCCAGAGGACATGGTGGCTGGATGTACTGATACTCCACAGCTGTGAACTCCTTCTCCACAGGACACGGAGCTTCCACAGGATCCACTACCTTCTGGACGGAAGGCAGCTTCTTCTTTTTCGTCCGATACACCCGCCATATGAGCAGCCCTCCTAAGGTCGCCCCCAGAACCGTCGTTATGACGGCGGTCAAAGGCCCTCGATTGGACATGTCGACTAGTAGTGATGTTTACCAGGCTGAGGAGTTCAAACCTGGAGTCAGGAGATGCTGTCGGTGAGCTGATCTGCACGTCTCATCTCAAACAGCTCATTCGTTAAGCAAACTCAAGCAGCGTTTTACCTTCCCAGTGTCAGTGAGCTTCCATGTAACCCTGGCTCTGTTTCTGTTATCTGGACAGACGCTGATCATCTCTGGAGCAAAAGAAGCAAACACACATGTCCTCCTGATTACATGAAGTCACTGATTGTACATCTAGGTTCATCATCGTCTAACTGCGAACTGTGCCAGCACGTTATTTAGAATCCAAGGCTGCAGCAGTTAAACAAATACCCCTTTATTCTTGTTATTCCATCATAATCTAGAGCAATCCAGTTAAAATCTGAGCTACATATTACCACAGCAAGCAGTTTTATCAACTTCCATCCATCCATCATCTATACACCGCTTAATCCCCACTAGGGTTGCGGGGGGCTGGAGTCTATCCCAGCTGACAGGTCACCAGTCTATCACAGGGCTACACTTAGAGACAGACAACCAAGCACACTCACATTCACACCTACGGACAATTTAGAATCACCAATTAACCTCAACATGTTTTTGGACTGTGTGGGAGGAAGCTGGAGAACCCGGAGAGAACCCACGCTGCACGGGGAGAACATGGAGACTCCACGCAGAAAGATCCCGGGTGTCCTCACCAGCGACCGTCTTGCTGCGAGGCGACGGTACTAACCACTGAGCCACCTGCAGCCCAGTTTGATCAACTTTTACTGCATAATTAGTGTCATGTTTGACATTAAAATCAGTGAGTCCATCAGATAGTAAAGCTCGACTCATTATTGTCATGGCTGATTATCGAATCAAATATTTGAAATTTGTCCAATTATCAGTAGTTTTTTTTTTTTTTAAGACAATTCTTGATAAATTAATATTAAAAGTACTACATTGGTTCTGGTGAACACTGAAGGATAAATGTTGATAAGTTTCCTTTAATCAAACGTATACAAAACAGATATTTAATGCTTTTTCAATTTTGATACCAAGATTTTCATTGATACAACAGATGTATATCAGTTCCTAACAGCAGCTGTTGGTCTGCCTGATTTCTATTCATTGGTATTTGCATCATCCTCAAAAAAACAAACAAAAACAGAACATATCAGTTGGCCCCCATTAGACAGCTGTGATTTAATGTGCCCAAACGTGACACTAAAAGAAAAACCTCATAAAAAAAGTCATTTGTATCTATTTATATTATTGTTTTATTTTTTGTTTGTTTGTCTGTTTTTATACATATATTCATTATTAATATTATTTTTTATTATTATATATATGGGAGTGTGCAAACGAGACAATTTCATTGCCCAGTGTTAAACTGCTGTTTTTCATGCTGCGCATATGACAATAAACGTCTATCTATCTATCTATCTATCTATCTATCTATCTATCTATCTATCTATCTATCTATCTATGTGGGTATTTTTCTTATAACTTATAGTTAATCTTTGTCAATTGTGCAACAAACCTGGACTCATGTTTGCTTTTCTTTGTGTAATTCTACATTCAGTTGTATGCTACCTTACTGTACCTCACCTGGGCAATAAAACAATATGAGAATGTACCAGCAATAGACATTTATTGATTGCTTGGTAGAATATCCAACAGTTTCACTTAAACTCAGTAGATTAAACATCAATGACAGTAAATGATGAAAATGCAGCAATTGGTGGCAAAATCAAATCCCAAGTGTGCTCCCTCTTTGTCTCATAAACAGCCCGTCACGTCCTTCAATAACGGAGACGCGTCCCGACTACCTCCTCCTCAGTAATGCACTCAGTCATCTTTCATGCCCCTCCACGTTTTTTCATGCTTGCCTTGTTAAATTCCTTTATCCTCATTTGTAAACATAGTTGTATAAGTGTTTCTCATTGTTGGAGCAACATTAAAACTATTACCAGTGTGGCCTGATAAACAAAACTACTTAAATTCAACGTAAGGTTGTCAAATTCCAAATAAATCTTTTTACTTGTGGTTTTTATTAAAAACAAGTCACTGAAAACTAACAACAAATGTCAACTCCTGCTAAAACTGTACCTCACCTCTCTGGTTTAAAAGCACATTTTACATGTATGCTTATTCTGTTTCTACTTCTGTAGGTCATATTTTTACTACTCCTGTTTAACTATACATCTTGTACTGCTTATATTTCTAAAACCTTGAATAGGAGAAACTGTAGCATAAACAAATCCTCCTCAAGAATCAATAAAGTATTTCTGATTTTAACCTCCTTCTAGAGAGTCAAACTTGCACTTTATATTTGCACAGCGACTCCTGGAGGTATTTCTGTTGCTTTGTGACTCATAATCCCCTGATTAAACTTGCTGCTAATTGACTTGAAACACTGCTTCTTATTTGTCTTGCAACACTTTTTAAATCTATCTGTCACGGTTTACTTTTAAACCCTAAAACACCAATCTACCTGAGCAATAAAACCTTCCTGATTCTCTATCTGTCGCCATCAAATAAAGCCCAATGAAGTGACTCACAAATGTTACTGCATGTTTGGCAATATACAATAAAGTTAATAGCTGAAAAGTAAAGCACAACGTGTAAAAGTTTGCAAGTGGAATCAAACACTTGCAGGGAACTTCTCATTGAGGTAACGATTTACTGGGGTGCAGAATTTGGTGCAACACCGGTGAAGTTAGCTCACGTTAGCCTGCTAACGCTCGTTTCGCCATGTAGACACCAACACAGGCTTGGTTATTATTTTTAAGCCACTTCAGAAGCAAAAATTCAAACGACAGACCCTGAAACATGACCAAGTTGTTGAAGCAAAGCGTTCACTCAAACACAAAACAAACCTCTGGCTGAAGTTACCGTCCAGCTGTCACTGAGCAGCTAGCTAGCAGTTCACACAACTTCTGCTAGCGTCGACGGTTTGCAGCTAATACTGGCTAAACTAACACCGGGTTTGCCTTTAAACTTCATTTATTTTTCATGTAAAACGGACTAAATGTAGCTTCAGTCAGTGTTTCTGTCACTGTTTCTCCTCACAGCAGCGTTAGCCCGGTTAGCCGCAGCAGTTAGCCGGTTACCTGGTTAGCTCGCTAACTCAGCGGTTCGCTTTCGACGCGGCGGAAACTCAGCTGCTCAGGAGAAAGTCAGCTTCTGTGGACACGAACTGGTACATTGTGAGTCTTACCTTCACGTTTTTAACCAACACAGCGCCACTTTCTCACACATGTACACCTGTTTGCTGAGCTGATGCATGTCTTCCGGGCTGTATTTATAAGGACGCCGCTGCGCCGGGACGCAGCTCCGCGACCGGCGCCCCCTGCTGGAGCGGCGGACCGAAGAGAAATTACACATCAATTATGATATGTATGTATCTGATTAATTGAATCATTACGGTTAAGACCTTAGAATAAATATATATTACGCAAACGTACCTAATGAATTTTAAAATAGATTTTAAGGCATTATTTAGACAACAAGCTAAAGAAAATACAATCTGTTTTAAACATTTACCAAATTCAAATATAAGGGTTAGTACCCCAAAATATTGTATACTTAAATCTACCTGCTTAAGTTAAATATTAAGGTAAAGACCCTACAATATTATTATTAGTATGCAAGTTTACAAGACTAATTTAAGTGTCAAAAATTTTAAGACCCTAAAATATTCTTACACAAATTTACCACATTTAAATAAGTATAAGACAGCACAATACTATTTTTTATACAAATTCACCTGATTCAAATAATAAATTTGAAACAATACATTATTTATTTTACAAATTTATGTCACTAATTTAAATATCAAGATTAAGACAGAAAAATATTTACAATCTAAATATGACTAAGGATTTTAAATATTAAGGTAAAGACCCCATAATAATCATTTTACAAGTTATCGAATTAAAATATTTAGGTTATGACCCGGCAGTATAATTTATTTATTAAGAGTTTATAATATTATTTCGTACACAAATTTACCTAATTTAAATATACAAGTTAAGACAATATATATTTTATACATTTACATCAATATTAGGGTTAAAATCCTACAACATTTATATTCTTAAAACTAAAAAGTTTAAATACTAAGGTTAAGACCCTACAATATTATTGATTATTTAAATGTAACTAGACCAATTTAAATATCAGGATTAAAATAACACATTCTATATTTTAAAAATGTATCTAATTGAAATGTAAAGGATAAAACAATACAGTATTAAATATTTATACAAATGTATCAGACTAATTTAAATATTGAGGTTAAAATAACATAATTTTATGTCTTTTACAACGTCATCTAATTTTAATGTAAAGGGGTTGACTTCAAGTGAAATGTAAGGAAAGTCTTGAGCTTAACATTTAATATTAATAACAATGCATGCACTTGTGCTCAGACAGCAACTATTTCTGTGACACCCTTAAATGTCGCTTTGTCCTGAATTTACATATATTTAAAAAAAACAAAAAAACAAAAGCAGCACATTTTCACATTTGACGATCTGCAATCAGTAAATGTTTGTAATTTTTGTGTGATAAATCAACAAAAACTGCTCCAAGTAACTGACACTGAGTTCACCAAAGTTTTTATGTTGTATTCAGTCAGAAACACACACCGTTTAATTCCTCTACCACCATGAATTTATTCAATCTTTTAGCTTCAGTATTTCTCCAAAGAAGTGGAATAAAGAAATGAAATAATTACAAAATGGAAAAATAGATCAGAGAATAGATCATATTCACAGGTTTGATTTAAAAAAATAAAAACATGATAGAGAGAAAATCAGACAGTGAGAGATGAAACCGTTTTTGTTTTTTTTATTGTTGTTTTTTTTAAATCTCCCTGCAGTTTTTTTTTCTGCTGCCCATCAGAACCACAGCAGGCTAACGGAGGTCAGGGCAGGTCAGCGTCTCGGCTACTGCAGCACCACAACTGACTGAAACCCAAGTTGATCAAGGTCACCTGTGAGGTCAAATCATCTACTTTTAGTGCTTGTGCAAAATTTTAAAAAATTAAAATCAACTACTTTAAAAAAAAAAAAAAAGAGGTGGAGAAACAGGAGATGACACATTCTACTGTGGTCAAATAAAATAATAATAATAATAATAATAAAAAAAAAAACGAGATCGATACCACGCACACAAAAAAAATAAAAGGATGACAGTGAAGACAGAAGAGTAAAATGTTAAGTACTGATGTGTACTAAACTATTAAAAACTGAGCACAGGTAAGAGAGGCAACCAGTTGGGCACCGCCACCATTGCTAGGTCCATATTGATTGTTGCTGCAATGATACCCTATTTACAGTGAGATGCTTCACATCCAATCACAGGATGCAACAGACGGCAATAAAGAGATTTTTCTTCAAAAATAAAACAAACAAAAAAAAAAATTAAAAATAAACACAAAAGTAAAGCAGCTGTCCCTTCACAAAATCTCTTTACATCACATTAAAAATTAGCACTGCCGCGAGCTGTGTTTACAGTATAGATTCTTTATAGATATATATATATATTTTATGTATAATATATACGATCATTTCTTGTATACACGAACATAAACTTGTTTCATCGTAGCTAGCCTGTGCCTTTGGCAAGATTACTTACAACTCTTCTGTTAGATTCCAAAGCTATTTAAAATATACTTAATGCATAAAAATAAAGATTTTGGCATTGTCTCACTCTATTCTTATGACTGGGAAGTTATTAAGGAGAACTTCTCATGTGGAAGCTGAGTTCTCTCAGTGCTGCAGTTCCTCTGCCAGGTTGAAGGAGGTCGTGTCCTGCCAACAGGGGGCGCCGGACCGAGCCGCCACGCCTGGGTGGGTGTAGGGTTGACGGGGAGCTGGGCGTGGCCCGGTGTTCCACAGGGTGATGGCGACCCGGCGCTCCACAGCACAAACAAAACAATACAGACAATGCTAATGAAACGCCCGGGGAGCTGCACCCTCGTTACCAGCAACCTGTTGTGTGTTTTTTTTTCTTCTTCTCTCACTGCCGTGCAGAGTTCTGCTACCTGCTGATTCGCCCGCTGACTCCCTGCTGAGTTTATCCGCTGAAACAGAGGGAGGAAGGCAGGAGGACGTTCCCATCTCAGCCACCTGCTCCACCAAGTCCTTATTGTCCAGCACTTCTATCTCACACTCAGTCCTCAGAGCTGGATCTCGAAGGTCTTGTGCAGCTCGGTGGAGAAGGGGTTTGTGGGCGAGGGGGTGGTGCGTTGGCGCGAGCGGCTCTCTAGCGCCGCCCACTGGGCCTCGAAGGCATCTTCCTGCGGCGGCGGCGGCAGCTGGGCGGATGGGGAGGATGGAGCCATCTGAGAGGGAGCAGCCCAGCCGTCGGCCCCGTTGAAGGTCACGCTGCCGTTGGAGGGCTGGAGGGGCGCCGGGTTCACCACCGGGGGTTTCATGAACGGGCTGACGTTCCCGACGGCCTGAACGTCGTGCTGCGGCGTCGTGGAGGCCGGGGGGGCGACGGGGAACGCCTGGGGTTGCGTGGCGGAGCCGAACACGTTGGCCACCATCTGCGAAGGAGTGATGCCGAACACGGGGACGCTGGGCTGCGGGAACGGCAGCCCGTTGGACATCGGGTAGGAGGCCGGAGCCTGAGCGTGGAAGGCCGGCTGGCGAGGGGGCAACATGGGCACGGCGGGGGGCAGAGAGGGCATGAAGGCCACCGGGGCAACCGAGGGAACGGCGGCCACGGGCATCGGCACCGGGGCGGCAAATGGCTGGGGAGGGGGCGTAGCTGCTGCCATGATGGGGTTGGGCTGAGGGGCCCGGACTGACTTGGTGACTTCTTCTAACCACCGGTCTGCTTCTGATGGTGTGCGCTTGTGAGACGGCAAAACTGGGGAGGACGACGGGGGGACGACTATCACCGGGGTGGGAGACGACCACTCACCTCCTGTTGGCACAAAGTTAAAGGATGAATCTCAAGCAGCAACATTTAACTCAAGACACGATGAGACAGAAGCAAACAGGGCCGATAAAAGCAGACGACTGGTTTAAGTGATGCTGATTGTGATTATAATCTCAGCAACAGCTTGTCTACATGCAGCTGATGTTTACCATCAACAACAACCTGTAAAGACTGAAGAAAAAAAACAGCACTCAGATATTTAACTCAAGCAAAAGTCTCATCAACAAAATGTGGTGTATTTAGTTTTAGTGGTAAAGTTTGGTCCTTGTCACTATAATGTGCAATATTTTTTTTTTAACCTCAGTATTATTGCCAGTATTACTTTTCTCTTTTCTATTCTAGTCGTATCTTAGTGTACTTTATTTCTATTTTCATTTTCAGTCTTGTGTTTACTGTGCTAATACTAAAAGGAGAAAACAGTTGGGGAGATTCAGTCAACACAGACTGTTTATTCTTCGGCGAGAACAGCCGATCAGTTTTAAGTCATTAGAATTATTCTGCAAATTCTAAATGGCAAACATGCTTGATATGAATGAGGCAGCCAGGATGAGTCTGTGGAGTCCTGTAGTCTGAGCCCAGCATGAACCATCAGCTTGTGGAGAACTATATGATAACAGGAGGTGAGTGAGTGGATGTGAACAGTCAAAAACTTTATTAAAAGAAAGTGATTGTGTCCTAATTAATTCATGTCTCCCTCATCCTCCTCCTCCTCCTCATTTTACTACGCGCTAATCTGTGCTGATCTACGCTAGCCTCTAAGTGAGCCGTTGAAATCTGAGGGATCTGATTCAGTGTGGACATAACCATGACACAGGCTGAAGGTGGAGTCTCTCTGAGGAGCTGCTTACCTGGATGTGCTGAGGCCGGGGCCCCTGCTGGGTTCTTAGCCCAGGGGTTAGTGTCTCGAGCAGGCAGAGCAGGGGGCAGAACTGGGGGGTTAGCGGGGGCAACAACAGCAGCGGCGGCAGCAGCAGCAGCAGCAGTGACAGAGAAGGCGGGAGTTGTGCCATTCACTAAAGCAGATAAGAGACAGACGCTAGTACAAGCCGGCCTGATGTTTAGTCAGACATGCACAATGTGACTGTTAATTAGCAGTCCTCAAACGTGTTAACCGCACATATAAAATAATCGCTGTCAGCTCGTTTGTGAGAAAATGTGGCCGGGCACGGGCACGCGTTGTCTAATTTAAATTGCAGGCAACACAATCATGAAGTCGCTGGCAGCCGGTTTATTTCCTATAGAGCTGAATTACCAGGAAATTCAGCCAGACTGTGGGCAATGGATGAGACCGTTGCCCAGAGAAGTTGGCCACCGATAACTTCTGGCAGCAATCTGCAGTGAACCACCAGTTTATTATTGTGTGCTTCCTCATCTCTCTACTGATTGTTGCAGTTTTGCCTGGCGAGTGCAAAATGGCCGATAAGTTGATCACAGCCAGGTCTGTAAACTCTGAGGTCTCAGCTAATTTAATGTAACCTTATGGCATTAACAATAAAGCAGCAATAACATGTTATTTCTTTTCTTAGTTCTTTGCAGTTTCATGCAGATTCAGACTCGCACGAGGTGTCGGCTAAGGCTCAAGTTGTGCAGGTTTACCTGGAGCTACAGGAGACTGCGGCGAGGAAGCTGGTTTGTGCATTGGAGCTGAGGAGAAGGGGTCCTCCGGGGGTCCGCTGAAAGCTGTGGCGATCTGAGTGCACAGCGAGCTGATGCTGTCGCTTTCTCCTTCTACCTCCGGGACTGAACATGGAGCACCAGAGAAAAAGCATTTCAGACTATGTTCTTCTATTGATATGTTAGTTTTGCTTTTTAATCTTTAACCCTCTGAACACCAAAACCCTTCAGGACAGTTTTAAAAAACGGCTCGTTATCTTTACAAAAATCATCAATATGACACCATTAATCAAAGGCACAGACTGTAAAAGCAGAGAGAATTGTCAGATTTTAAACTTTCTGATGGTCCCTGAACTCCTCTTCTGTGACGCGTAACATGTCAGTTGAGAGCCTAAACTAAATCTGAGCTTACAATCTTGATATTTAAAGTTTTAATGGCATGTTATCTTTACAAAATTACCAAACTTACACCATTTATTAGAGACAGAAACTATAAAAGCAGGGAGAATTGTCAGATTTTGAACTTTCTGACGGCCCTTGAACTCCTCATCGTTGATGGGTAACGTGTGTCAGTCAAGAACCTAAACCAAATCTGAGCTTAAAATCGTGATATTAAAAGTTTTAAAGGCATGTTAGCTTTACAAAATTATCAAACTTACACCATTTATTAGAGACAGAAACTATAAAAGCACAAAGAATTGTCAAATTGAAATTCTCGGACAGTCCTTGAACTCATCGTGTGTGAAATTAAATCATTAAAGTTAAAGCAAATCTGAGCTTAAAGTCTTGATATTACATGAAAACAACTGACTTTTTGGCAGGACTGCAGGCAGTACAGGGCAAACACAATGCAAGCATATAAACAGTTTCTACAGTTTTCTTTTCCAGAATTAGTAACAGCTGTAGATACTTAGAAAAATCCTGCACATGTAGATTCCAGGTTTTTCCAGTATTTGTAAAATAAGTGATCCAAATAATTTAACTTTAGATTTTTCTTTTTTTGTACAATTTGCAGCATTCTAACTTTGCTGCACTACACAAACGCAGAAAAACAGATTTGCCTGTACGTCTAGCTACAGTTGTGTTGTTCCCACAGAAGTGCAGGATTTTATATTTCTCCAAAAAATGAACGCATTTTGTAAATATGTGACAGGAGAGAAAAAAACTCCCAGAAATGTCTCGGTGTTCAGCGGGTTAAGCTGGATATTTGCAAATAATCTTAACAGACAGTGCGCTGGAAGGTGTTCACTGCTGTTCAACGTGTTGAATAACAAAGAAGCCGAGGACAGGAATAGTTGGCCGCCGTCCCGGACTCACCTGTGTTTTTCATGGGGAAGTCAGACTTGCGCTGCATGGTGGAGGGCAGCTCGTTCATGCGCAGTGACAGCTGTCGTTTGAAGGGAGACGTCTTCTGGCTGAGGGCCGGGAAGCCTCTGAAGGAGCCCTGCCTGGCCAGCGCCTCGGCCGGCGCGTGTCTGCGGGGAATCGCCTGAGGACCCAGCGTGCCCACCGAGAGCGGCGGGGAGGACGACGGGGACGGCGAGCCTCCCGTCTGGTGCGCCGAGGCGTTTGTCACACTGGTGGCCGAGTTCCCAGCAACCTTCACATCTGTCTCTGCTGCTGGAGGAGGGAAAAGGTTAGCGAGGAATCCTGCACAGAGAACGACTGCAGAGCAAGAAATTCAAAATGAAGCCAAGCAGCAGGTTTCTCACCAAAAGGCCCAAATACTGGTTTCTTAAACATTTAAATTAGGGATCGACCGATTGTTGGCCTTGATGATATTCTGCATTGTTCCAATTATCAGTGTTGTTGTTTTTTTTCTTTATTAACTGCTTACCAATACAATTAATTAAATTTGCTACTTTGGCTCTGATGCAGCTGAGTCTCTCTGTGGTCAAGCAAATGTCCCACCACAGCACCGACTGCTGTTACCGTGACGTGTCACCAATCAATCACTGAAGCTATTGTTTACACAGAGAGACAGATTTGCACATTAGCAGAGCAAAGCAGCTCCAGTGAATTAGCGGAGCTGTGTTTTAAAGTTTAGGTAGTGATGTTGCTGAAGTTTGAATAGACATCACAATCTTACACAAGCAAGTCCAGTTTTCCTGTGCAACTATTCTGCTAATGGTGCTAGGCTAAGGCTATCACTACGAGGTTTGCTGTGCCTCTTAGCCCGTGGCTAACGTTATCTGGAGTACTGGTAACATCTTCCTAAAGTAACTTAACTTTAACAAAGTGCTGTAACTAACAGACACATCTCTCCAGCAGAGATATAATCTACAAAACTGAAAAGGAGGCACAGCCAACAACACAAATCAGGACATATGGTGTTTTCACAGTGGTTACAGCTGTGTAAAAGGTTAGCAGCTAAGTTAGGAGGCAGCCACAGATTAGCCCGTAAGAGTGTCTGAAAAACAACAGTAAATAATGCTTTAATATTTGGGCCTTAGAGGATAATGAAAGATTAACAAACAGCAGCTACAATAACCGTTATTAAACAAGTTGCATTGTTGTGAATGACAGATTTCCTGCTATCACATACTGTTAATATAAAACATTTGATGTACATCGGGTCCAAATATCAATCATCAGTCTTTCTTCATGACCAATAAGTGATATCGATATTAACTATGAAAAAACCCACATCTCTAATTAAAATACGTAAATATAAGGAAGACTACAATTTAGGACACATACTTTAATTACATGTAATGTCAATATAATGTAGAAAAGTTCTACTTGCAGCGGTCCTGGAACAGCAAAACAAAATAATTGTCTCCTGAATTCTGTGTATTTTTACTACTCGTCAAGTCAGTTCTTTTGTTTTTTTTAATATAAAGGACATTTGAAGCCAATAAAACATTAACGAAAGTGCGGCACGACATCAGGAAAATCAAACTATTAAAATAAATTCAAAACAAATGAACTCAATTAAAAACCACAACACAATAAAACCATTATGACACAAGTAATCACTGTGTGACTAATTACAGGCTGGTAATTAGTACTGTACACCCAGATGAAAATGGAACTTTGATCGGTGAGTAAAAACATTTCTAATCACTGGTAGTAAAGTTGATGACTTGAACCAAAGTTTTGGAGCCGCTACTGAGAAAACAAGGTCAGTCCTAAAGCCCCGTGTAGATCTAGGAACTACTCAGAGATGCTGGTTGTTGATTAATGTTGGCTGTTGATTGACATTTGTGGAAGGTGAGAAGGACTCAGCTACTCTGTGTTCACCTTGATAAATAAACTAAACAAATACGTCCGTATAAAAAGTACAGTGTGAAAAGACCTTGAGTGGAGGTTAACCTGTCCCAGCTCAGGGAGTCACACCACAGCCACACACCTTTTTTAGCATCCTGTAGCTGCCTCATTACTTCCTCCCGCTCTGCCGCCTCTGTTGCCGTAGTGACGCGAAACGAGCCCTCGCGGGTGAACGTGGTTCTGTTGGCGTCGAAGGTTGCCGTGACCCCGCACTCCTTCTCCCGCTTCTGCTTTCGCTCCAGACAGGCGGCGAATGCACATCCGACAGCGTGACTGAGACGCTCTCCCTGGAAGAGGAGATTCAAACGGTGAGGACCAAAGCATGACGCTAATATTATGTCTTAGCTTGACGTAAAGTCAATAATCCAGCTGCTGGTTTATAAAACACTGTTTGAACGCTCATGTTAAATACATAATTTAGTGACACATGGGAGAAGACAACAGAGAATCATCTATAAAAGGATTTGAACTGGAATTCAACATTTGTGCATAAGAACATTAAACATAAATTAGAATAACTCAGCGCTGCAGTGTCTGAATGACTTCTTACTGAGTCTTTAATGGCCATGAAGCAGTGGCAGATCCAGCGTCGCGTGGTGCCATCCCTGCAGATGTACGAGAACGCCCTCTCAAAGTTCCTGTCCGGAGCGCAGAACGACACTTTCTCTATTGTCTGGTCCAGAATCAGGTCCTGCAACGAGCATTTCCACCACATTACCATTAAATACTACGGTCGCAGCTGAGTGACTCTCAGTCGTGTAATTACCGAGAGTGGAATGAATGATTTCACAGTGAACAGCACTTCAGTGAAAATGTGGCGTGTAGAGAGAGCTCGGATAAGACTCAAATCTACTAGCAGCTCCGGAGGCACCGATCTACGACTGATCCTGGTCTCTGACAGTAAGGACAACACTGAAAAGTAACATCTCACTCAGGGAGGAATCCTAACAACATTATTTTTATTACTTCCTATAGAAAATAAGGACAAAACAAATAGAATAAAATAACAGACAAAGTCACTTGGGACAATAGAAAATCCTGAACTTCTTTTCTTTTTTAAAAAAAAATGACAGCAATTCACAAAAATCTCTCTGTCTCCTGACGATAAAATAAAAGGCTGTCTTAGTGGAATAAGTCTTGGTAGAAAATATTCTACCTTAAAAACAAACAAACAAACAACCAAACAAAAAAACAGCTGAGTCATTCATAGCACCTGGAGTGAAGATTGTTTTTTTACAGGACCTATTTTGAATTTATTCTTGGCAATTACCAAAGGCATGTAGAATACAATGAATATCACAATTTTAAGCTTAGATATGGTTGAATATCCTGACAGAACTGGATATGACATATGATTAGTTCACAGACTGCCAAAAAGTTCAAAATGCACTGATTCTTCCCGATTCTACAGTTTCTGGATCTGAAAAATTGTGTATATTCTTTACTAGGGCTGGTCTGAACAGCAATTTCTGTTCTCCGGATATTCAGTCCAATTAATGACGAATATCCCGAATAGTAGAGAGGTGGTGGGGGGTGACTATTTGTCCTTATTAATATATTCAGAGATCAAAATTGATATCCCAATTCCAGCACAGTGAACGACTAGTCGGCTATTCGGGTCCAGCCCTATTATTTACACAATTTTTAAAAATTTATTATAGATTTTCTGTCTGCTGCAGACAGAAAACGATATTAAAGACAACATCGATGGATTTTAGGGTGCGGTAGTTAAACTAGAGATAATATTTTGAAACTCAAAAGCAGTGTGATGCCTTTCTGGCCTTGCAAGTAACCATAACTGATCATGACTAATAAATGTCAAGATGGATGTTAACAAATCACAAATAGATAATCAAATAAGAAATAAAAAAGACAAAAGGGAATTGTTGCATCTTCTTCTTTTTGTCAGATTTCTAAACTTTTAGTTGTCCAGCCTCACAGAAACAACTAAATCCACAAACCATCACTGAAACACAGTTTTCACTCTCAGTAACGAGCGGCCTGCTGCAGTTCCACTGATGTCCAGCAGGTGTCAGTGCATCCTTTAACGTGACGCTGTTTACTCGGCCGGTATCTCCTCCTGCAGGTGCACTGAGTACACATTCCCACAGAGGGCCTTTTGGAGGTCACTAGAACAGAGCTGTAGTAGCCTGACAATCATTATTAACTGCTGGAGCTCAGCAGCTTCCACCTTTAAAGCTACTAAAGCCACGTGTGCTTCCTCCGGCAGCTCTTTCTTTTTGATTAAGGTGTTTCCGAGCCTGCAATAGAGGACTGAAGGGACTTATTACCTTTGTTTTGTCGTCTACAACGCGAAGACCGTCTGCCGACACCCACAGCACGGCTCGCACAGGCTTCTTCCCAGCCTGCAGACACACACAACAGGGAAAGCAGCCAGTTAAGAAACAAGGAAGCGTTTCTGGTCTTTCCATATCCCCCAAGAATTCTTCCCTTTGTACCATTCCTTGGCACCTACTCGTGAAAACAAAACAAAAAAAATCCGTCAACACACACACACATACGCACAAAGCACACCTGTAAATGAAGAGAGGGCAGCAGGTGAAAGACAAAAGAGGAGACACACGAGTTGGGTTTTTTTGTGTCACGCAGTAGGACCCGAATTTGGATAAAAGAAACCAGAAGAATCGGTGCGCTGATGCAATCGAGAGTGGTGACCCCGTTTGTTAGAATAACAACAATTAAAGAAGGAAACGTTCATTCACACAAACTGCTTATTGTTTCGTTCTCGGCTGAGCTGAAGGGAGAGAAGGCACGCCTGTTAATACAAAAAAATAACACACACACATACACACACAAAAACACAAAGGTGCCCCGCCCCGGACTAAAACCACCCCACCTGCTCACAGACACATGCATTACTGTGTTTGTCTCCAGACAGATTTCCCCTGAGTGTCTATGAGAGAGAGAGAGAGTGTGTGTGTGTGTGTGTGTGTGTGCTTCTTCCAGGCTGCAGACGTGATCAAAGAGTGAAGAGTGTGAGAGGAGGGAAGAGAAGAAAAAAAAAAAAAAAGAACACAAAACATAATAATAATAATGCTAATAATAAAGAGAAACACACTCAGACACACAAAGCAATAACTTACTTTTGCAAAGAATCCTTTGAAGAATTTCCTGTCCTGGAAGTGGATGTGGTAAAAGAGGGAGGGCGGGTGAGAGGGGGGGAGGTGGAGGAGACGGGGGGAGGAACAAGGCATGAAAATGTTACCTAGGAAGTCTAAAAATTGTCGGGAGCCCACAGGAAGGGATTTGATTCGGAGTTTTGTTTGTTGGTGGAAGGTGAAGCTGGGTTATGAGTGAGTGAGTGAGGCGATGGATTGAGGGCTGCACGATACATGGGCTCGGCATTAAGAGCAATGAGGAAAATTAGCTCTACTTTTTTAATGCTTTTGCTGCTTGGTACTAAATAAAACTTGCACGGTTCTCCTTCTCCACACTAGAAGCCGGTTTCGTAGAGCTTCATTTACTCCGATTTAAGGCTACTTAGATCCACTCTTTATTTAAAAGAAGCAGAGTTTGTCGACATGTTGGCTCGGTGTGCGAGAGAAACGCCAAAAAGGAAGATTTGGTTGCAAAAAATAAACAGAACAAACACACGGGATGCTGTTGACCAAAAACAGACGAGGCAACTAATTGATTAGATTAATTAAAACGGATCCTCGAAGCTCTGTAGGACGACTGCAAAGCCAGATCAAGCAAAAACAAAAAAAGACATTGGATGTCTTTGTGTTGCACCAAATGAGAAAACACCAGGGAGAAATGATATTACACATTAAATAAACATGATCTGGTTGCTTTACAAGTGGTACACACTTTTTGTCAAGTTGTCATCTCAGAGCTTTATGAAAAATGCAGCGCAAAAGTTGGAATATTCTGCAGCTACAGCGGACTTGTGGTTTAGCCGGACAACGGCAGTCAACACAAGTGCCTGCTTTACTGTGGAGGACTAAACACATAAAAGTCACTGTTTGCAAACTTTTTCTGGAGGATAATAAAGTGAGAACACAATGGGGCTGAAAGAAGCTGTTTGGGGCCTCTAGAGAGACTTCAAGTCTGTTCAACGGCAGACAATGTGGTAACATGATAAGAGCTGAACAAGTGGACCAGACTGCAGCGCTCTGCACAGACTGCACCCAGGTGTACTAGACCCTGGTAATAGAACAGCATGTAGTGGAGGTAGAGTTTTAATGAGACAGATGCCTGATAAAGTGTTCAATTGTTTCACTTAAATGCTTCAGATGCAAACCAGCACAAAAGCACATGAAGTCTCAAAGTTCAGTTGCATGAACAAAACCCAAGCGTGCTCTCTCTCTGGCTCCTGACAGCCAATCACATCTATTGATGATGGAGCCTCTTTGGCCTACGTGGCTTCGGTGCAGGTCTTCTGAGGTGAGCCAGTCTGTGGCTGCCTCGGCTTCTCCTCACCATCACATACACCTTTTTAATTGTTGTGTTAATAATAAAACTACATGTACAACAGGCTGAAGTGGCTAACTTCTACTTAACGTGGTTATATTCAGAAGAAACTTTTTCTTGTATTCTATATAAGAAATAGCAAATAAAAATGATCAATATTATCAATATTGGCCAACATAGAATATTGTATCATGATTGACTTTTCAGCGCTATTGTCCTAAGTTATCCCACTGCTACAGTACCAAAAAAAAAAAAAAAAATCTATTTAAAAAAAAATGAAAATCTGGCAACAAGGGCGCTATAAAAAATACATTATAAACGGTGGAATAAGTCATGTTCAAAAACTGCAAAAACGGTGAAAACAACAGCAAATATCTGTAAAATATTGACTTTTTTAAAGCTGATTTAAATCCACTAAAACTGTGTAATCTTCATGGCAACACACTGTCAAAGGACAAACTCATATTTGGAAAAATACCCATTTTTTATGTTGACATTATTTAGTTTTGGTCTGTTTTTTTTCTGTTTTGTTTATGGCAATATGTAAACGAATGCTTTTTTTTCATTAACTGTAATTTACAAAACATGGAAAATCTGTAAAATAACATTTTCTTTTCTGCTGTACCATTTTTTTGCCCTGACCTTCATATTTTTGTAATTAAACAAAACATAAACTTTTAAAAACTATTTCCCATTGTTCAGCCCTTAACATACAGATTTTTTATTTCAAATAATGTCAAATATCAGTACAATAGATACATTTTTTGCTGATTTAAATACAGTAAAACAAAAATAGTGTAATCTTACAGTCAAATTTTGTAAAAGAACAAATTAGCATTTGTGGATATTTTTGAGCTGTTTTTTTATGGTTAACGTGTCAATTAACAGTTTTTAATTAATGCGATTTTAATAGTTGCTATCTGTAATCTAACAAAACGGGGTAAATCTGTAAAATAACAGGAAATTGTTCAGAAAATTACAGCTTGAAATTGTTAGAAAAACCTTCATTTTTCAGTGTATATTTATGAAGCTGTTTTGTTTTCATATGTCAGAATAACAAAACATCACAATGCCGTTTTTTTCCGATATCGTGCAGCCCTACGATGGATCAAGTGGCTCCACATCATTCCACACTGCTAGATGTTTTCATGGGTGATACTGGTGATGATCACTGTTAGTACGACCACAATGAAAGCCAGTAAACGTGTTACTGTTCCCAGCAGACAGCAGGAAGCAACACCCCCCGTGTTCCTCTGTGATTTAAATAAGCAACAACAACCCTTACAGGACAACAGCGGTCCCACAGCTGAGCGAGCACACCCAGCAGCCTGGACGTAGGAGATAAAGGTGGCAGACCTTCAGGTGTGTGTCTGTGGTGGGGATAATCCCAAATCCCATTTTATTCTTTCTCCTCTGATTCCCGGACCGAGACACGGCCCCCTCCATGGTGGTGCAGCAGACAGAAACAGATTCCCACAGACGGCAGTTTGACCCCGGAGTCAAGCCTGTGACTGTTCACCGGTCAGCCGGAGTCAGGGGTCAAGTTTAGGCCGCCGCGACCACGTTAAAAAAAAAAAAAATTAAAACCCACAAACAGCCCCGGCCTAGTCTTAATCCCCCCTTCTTCCCCCCTACTCCCTGAGAGTTCGTCTCCTCCCATAAGCTGTGAAACGGAGTGCCACTCTGCTCCTGTTACACAGCCGTGGTGGAGACGGCACTCCGAGCACCATGTTAATGCATGATTTAACGTGTTAACCAGCACTGGAGATTCATTTGGAATGAGCTAAGCGCTTGTTAGTGGGTGTGTGTGCGTGAGTGTGTGTGTTTGTGAGAACCAGACAGACATGCAGATGATGAGAAAGCCTGCACAGCTAGTATTAGTAAGCTACGGTTAGGGGGGGGGATAGATACGCTTCTAAAGGGCTGCGACAACTAGAACGGGAGTGTGGAGGGAGAAGGGTTTGGAGGCATTTCTCTGCAATTAAAACCTGCTTAAAAAGACAAAAAAAAATGTATAACACCAACAAAAAAAATGCAATATTCAAGTATGCAATGTGTGAGCTGAGATGGGGGGGAAAGCTGTCTCAACAGAAAGGATAGCTGAGATTTGATAGGTGAAGCCAACAAGGCAAAAATGAGACAAATGAAGCAGGAAACTTACTTCGCAGCTGAAAAGCCCGACCTCTTCGCCGACAAAAATGTTAATCTGAGCATACTTTACCTCTTTCAAACAGACAATCTTACCACCCACAGTCAAATGGTACAATCAGCTGACGGCTGTTCTGCCCCCCAAACACCAGCAGCAGCACCACCAACATGTGCAACGTCTTGTGTAACAACCGTCCCAGGCCTACTTTGTGAAACTGCTGGTACCTTACAACATTTTCTACATGCATGAAATAAATATCAGAGTGTTCTTAAGCCTGGACAACAAATTTGACTTCACTTGACAGGAGAACAGAGGATGTTTGCATACAGAGCGCATTCCTAGCATACATTTTTTGTGACCTTTCTTGAGACGAGTTCAGGGCATGACAGGAGCGCTCCCTAACACAAGATAAGGATTTTGTTTCCTATTTCCTAAACGTACTCTGTAAAAATCTCCAGTGGGGGTGGAGAGGCATCTGAGGGAAACTATGTGACATTAACCCTCTGAACCACAAAACCAGCCAGCGGGTCTAAAAGGCAAGTTTTGTCTTGTTTTTTTTTGTAAATCGCCTCAATTACGCTATTTTTTAGGGTCAGAAACAAGAATTCACCAACCTCTCATGTGTGACTTTTGGTTTTGTTGGCTAAATTACCCAAAAAACTAATCTTAAAATCGTAATGTTAGTGACAGGATTAAAAAAAAAAAAAAACGTCTAAAAACAGTGACATGACCAGCATTCAGTGACTTTTTGGCTGAACTGAGTTGAACTGCAGGCTGTGTTTACACAGAGCAAATAGAAAACAAGTATGAACACAAATTAAATATGTAAGCAGTAAAATATCTGCAGTATATATATATATAGTGCCATTTTATTCCAAGGTTTGTAATACATATGGGGAAAATGTTGTATGAGTTGTTTCCAGTTTTTTCCAGTTTTGTAAAATCAATAATCGAAGAAAATCAACTTTTGTTTGTTCTCCTTTTTTAAAAAAAAATTATTATTATTTCCAGCATTATATCTTTGCTACACTGCACAGAAGACATTTTTCAGTTCTCTCTACGTCTAGCCATGGTTGTGCTGTTTCCATAGAGATGCAGGACTTTACAGTAAAAAAGGAGTCCACATTGACTGAAAATCCAGCCAAAAACCCCTCCAGAAACTACTTGGGATTCAGAGGGTTAAAAGTCTACATTGACAGCACACTGCTGTGATGGATTTAGATCCATTGTCAATGTTGCGCCCTGAGGCTGCTGAGTCTTCATGTATAAATACAACTGAAATTCTTTCAGCATGTGAGCATCTCCTGGTGGGGCGCCGCGCCCGATCAACACAGGGGAAAACACTCCAGGTCACTATGAGCCACCGGGCAACCGCTAAAACATTCCCACTGATAAAACTCAGAATACACCTCCAGCCGCCGGGACGCCGGCCAACAGCGGCAGGAAGTGACGTCGTGACGACAACACAAAAGGGCAGCTTGGAGGTTGATGGTACCGCAGTGCAGCCTCCTCCTCCTCCTCCTCCTCCTCCTCCATCCTCCCGTCTGAGTCACGGGTCGCAGAGCTGTGAGAAAACTCTCATCACCGTCCCAAAGGCTGCTGGGAAAACAGCGGCGTCGCCTCAAAGCTGTGACACTCACAAACACACACTGACTGACAGCCGGACCGCCAACATGCAGCCTCTGGTACAAAAGGAAACTCAGCACACACTTTCCCCTCTACTTATTCATCAGAGAGAATCCGCTCACTGCTCCTCTTCTCTTTTGCCTGATCCAACACTTTCTGATGCTGCCTGGCCGTGTTAGTGATGTGGCTGAGTTTCAGGAATCAGCGTCCTCATCTCATCAGCACACATCACGTACTAAGTGCCTACAGGTGGGGAACATGGTTTCTGACCAATTTAGTTATTAGTTCCTGGAAACACAGTTAACTGCTGAGGAATATTAAGTCGCTCTCTGCTGGTAGGGACTGTTTTTGTTGCCAGGCAACTGTCTGCTTATTAAAGAGTCGGTGAGGATGAACCAGGATCCATCGGGGCCTCGCTAATTGTATATTTGCCTAAAGGGTGGTCCTGGGCTGGTGTCACAATCTGGCTTTGACCTGGATTACTGGCATCAGGGGGCTGCTGCCTGTAAAACTGCATTAAGGCTGAACACCTACGATTCTAATCATCCGTCACAAACTCCTGAGTCAAGCCTTATTTTGTCAGTCAGATGCGCTCGTTGTGAGCCGTAAACAGAGCAATGCGAGATAACAGAGTGGCTACAAACGTCTATTCTTGTCTGAAAATGACTTAACAACAAAACAAACAGTGATGGAAAGAGACGTGATGGAAGTGAAGGGCAGAGTGACGCAGTACGGCACAACTCATCTCTGTTTGCTGCTCCTCCGCTCTGAGGTCCAGTGCTGAATGTTAATACCAGAATATTACTACTCCTGTGTTATGAATGTTTAAACTGTGAAGATTTAGTATCAGTGAAACTTTCCCAATCATAAGGAATGCTATTCTCCTGTGTGAGCTCGATGTAAAGTCGAGGGCTGGACTATTTGGGGAAAATGTCTAATTGAAATTTTTCTGACAAGCTGTTTTGAAATCAAGCTTTAGTTCTGTGTAAGAGATTTAAAGGGTGAAATGAAGCACTGATCACACGAGACATCACCAAAACTGTCAAACAAGGAGGACGGCATGAAGTTAGAAAACCAGCGACACAAGAGTTTAAACTCAGGGTCAGATGTACAAGGTGATGACGGAGCCACAGACTATACATTGATCAATGAGCCAATATTAACAACACCTCAAAGTTAAAATCTGTAAGTTAAAAAAACAGCGTTATTCTCACGACGTAACCCTCTGAACTCATTTGCAGGTTTTGCCAAATTGCACCATTTATCGGAGCCAGAACCTGCTAAAAACAGGAAGAATCTGTGGATGCTCCACGTTCCAACAGTCCTTGAACACTTCTGTAATAAAGCTGGACCAACTCTAAGCTTAAAATCATGATATTTCATCAGAAACACTTTTTTTCTTTACGTGTCTCATTTAAAAAGTTGTCATAAAGACATCTTTTGCAAAGATTCTGTGCTCCTCATCACAACCAGGATTAGTGATTTGGGGACTTTATCAGGTTGAACTGCAGGCTGTGTTTACACAGAGCACAAGTATGGAAACAAATTCAAAATGTAAGTCGTAAAATATCTATAGTTTGTAGCATCACTGTGCTGTAACACGTACGACAACCTGGAAAAACGTGTTGATTCCAGCTTCTTTCTTTGTTCTTTTCTTATGATTTATGGAACCATAATGGTGTCATATTGCACATATTTGCGTTCTCTCTACTTCCAGCCATGGTTGTGCTGTTTCCATAGAGGTGCAGGGCTTTGTAATGCAAAAACAAGCATCCAGAGACTGTCTGGAGTTCAGAGGAATAACAGCCACACCTCCAATCCTACATCCTAAATTGCAGCCTTTGCAATTTGCTAATTGTATCATCTCAAATTGCAGTTTGAATATGAAGTCAATTAATTGTTCAGCCCTAGTGACTGAGAGAAGTGCTCACGTGGAGGGAGCTGCACGACAACAGCACAGACCTGGAAGAGGAAATGAACTCTGCAGTGCGTATGTTTGAGCACCGTCTTGGAACATAATATGCAGCTCTCTACAAAAAGCGATTGTTTTCCTGCATTTCCTGCAAGACGAGGCACTGGGGCAAACGCCAGGCCAGGGCTCAGCATTTAGCAAAAAAAAAAAAAAGGATCAAATCTGCTGCCAGTGTCCTCTTTCTTTAACAGAAAATAGTTTGTCGCCTTGAAATGATGCCAGCCGGTCTCACATTTTGGAGGCTGGTGTTAATTTCCCATCCTGTTTATAAATGCGGATCAATAAAGCTGTGCCTGTCCCGGTTTACAATCGAGGCCTTTGGGCAGCGATGGAGAGCAGCGGCAGCGGCGGCGGCAAAGGCAGAGGAGAAAATGTCATTAGAATGAGGAGGGTCAGATAGTCGCAGCCTGCAGGACGACAGGAGGCAGAAGCACCCGCCTCTCCTTTGAGTTGGCTCCATTTTGTCCGCCTTGTTAAAATGACTGTAACTCAATAAGACCTCGCAGCCTCGGGGTCTGTGTTCACCATGTGACCTCATCAAGCACAAGTGTACGCTGTGTGTGTGTTCATTGTGTCTGTGCTCAGTCGTTGTGCGGGGATATGCATGTTTTTGAGTGTCTATATGCTGTGCGCCTCTGGGTGCACTTCATCCTGTGCGTTTACAAACGTACTCACCAGTGAGTCCCGTCTTAGTGCCTGCATGTTGTTGTGTCGGCAAACATGAGCCCTGTATGAAGATGCAGTGCTGGGTGTGCATGTGATGTATGCAGCAGCCCCTGACAAAAAAGTGCTTTAAGTGTGTGTGACTTACACTAGAACATCAAAGAAGCAGAACCCTTTCATTTCCAGTACCTGCTCTAATGTTACTAACAGACAGGACAACGCCTCAGACAGGGCTAAGTCTTTTTTAGCAGCTTTTCTTCATCTTTTTTTGCTCTCAAAATATGAATTATGAGCTCACACAATCACTGAATCTTGTGAAAAACCTCCGCTATATACTGCTATATTATTGAATCCTCACCTGATGCCTGAATTTTGTGTGTGTGTGTTTTTAACATAAATAAAGACATTTCCACCATAAACTGTTAGAGAAAAGGAGAAAATTGAGGCATACAGATTGTAAAAAGTAACCCTCTGAACCCGAAAGTTGCTCATTTGTTTGACAGGCATGTTGTCTTTACAATATAGCCAAAATGGCACCATTTATCAGCGAGCAAAACTGCAAAAAACGGAGAAAATCTTAAAATTTTCAACTGTCCAACAGTCCTTGAACTAAGCATCAGTGATGTGCTGTTCAGTCAGGGAACTAAAATGGTGATATTTCATAAATCACTTTAATAAAAAAGTGGAAAAACACACTGTATGTTAATTAGAAAGGACATGATTTGCTCCTTGACGCAACCAGGAAGCCATTAATGACTCAGCTGTGACCAACAGTCAAACAATAACAAAGTCAGGGACTTTTTGGCTGAACTGCCAGCAGTGTTTACCGTGAGTTTTATGGAAAGAAATTATAAAAGCAAGCTATAAAGTATCTATAGCATGCAGAGCCACTGCTTTTTCCCCCCAGTATCGGCAACACCTGTGAGTGATTGGAAAAATGTGGTATAGCCCCACTGTTGCAATATTTGTAAAAAATAAATCAAAGAAATTCAGCTTTTGCGTATTTATGGCGTATCATGGTGTCACTATAACTGCACAACAGAAGTGTTTGCGTTCCCTCTACTTCTTCATGGTTGTTCTGTTTCCATAGAGGTGCAGGACTTGGAAAAAAAAAAGAGCCCTCAGTGAGTAAAAATGCAACGATAGCAAACAAATAAACACCCAGAAACAATCTGGGAGTCAGAGAGTTAACTGGCATGAAAATATAAGTGTTTACTATCTGTTAAATTGTTCTCATAAAATATGAAAATACTCTCCTGCCTGTTCTTTGGTGTAATCGCACTAACAAAAGGCTCTCGTGGCTCAAGTGCACTTCAACAGCTCATTGAGTAGGACACGCAACAGGAATTAAAAAAAAAAGGCCCTTCACACGTTTTTATGAGAAGAATAGGTGCAGATAACAAGAAACAGGGTGTGAATTCTCAATTAGTCTGAGTCATTTCAAACTGAAACTGAAAGCTGGAGTTTCGTAGCCTTAGTTGGCACACAAATCGAATTTAAGCCCAGAAACATGACGTGTTAATCCACCTGTATAGACTCTGGTCATGCCGAGAATCAGCCTCCTTACCCACCAGAGTTTATGACCTGGGTGGGGCCTTTGGCAAACAACGTGGAAAAGCGGCCGGCTTCCCCTCCTCCTGCTCCTCAAACTGGAATTTGTTCCCTTTTGCGCAACTCCGCCGGAATCTGCTGCAGCAGGAAGTACATGCCGGCCTATCTGCCCCGGCTGAGACAGTGCACAAGGAGGGTTTGGGGTGGGGGTGGGGGGGGAGGAGGAAGAGGCATTCAGAGCTGACCCCCGACACCCCTGCTTTGGGTGGAGACCCTCACTGTCAAACTTCAACAATCGGCCACACTCGGGCCTCTACGTAGCAGGAATAAACAATGTATGAAACACTGGGAAAGAGAAGGCAGATGAAGGAGGGCTGCCGTGATGAAAGATGTTAGAAAAAGTCAGTAGGGTGTCGGTAAAATAGAAGGAAGGAAACCAGCGGAGGAAAAGACAGGAGACAGAACTGATAGAGAGGAAATCTGGTGTTCAGCCGCCTCATTCCTGGAAGTAGGGACAGGTTTTTCCAGTGAAACCTACCGTCTTCAGCCGCTTCACTGCATCCTCACAGATGTGCATGCCTCTGGACTCCTCCACCTCCACATGGCCCAGGTACTGCAGGGCAGAAAGGGGAAAGAAAAAAAAAAAGAGAGAGGGAGCGCGTGAGTAATGCTGTGACAAAGCTTTCCTGTGGCTATCACTACTGAAGTTTAAGTAAGGCTACAATAATAAACTCCGGAATGAGACTGGGTATTTAAATGAGTCCAGATTGTCTAATATCCCCCTGCTACCCGAGCGCTGGTGATTTATACACCTAATTAATTAGCATTTCGAGGTCAATCGCGGTTCAATTGCTCCCAAGTGGATTCCTAATTTTGCCCACGGAGGAAACGCTGAGCCGTTCCTGAGAAATAATAAATGGAAAAAGATTCAACAGGCACTGTGTGATCCAGAGAGGGAGTTCTGAGATTCTTGTGCAGAGGGTTTTTTTTTTTTTTTTTTCTTATCTGTTTCAGGGGCCCGACTGAAAACTAAAAGGGACAAAGTGTTTGCAGTCGGGGCCCCGAGGCTCTGGAACAATCTGCAGCAGGAAATCAGGTCGGCTGAGTCAGTGATCTCAAGTCTCTCCTTAAAACACACTTTTACCGGAGAGAGCCTTTCCTGATATTTTTTTGTTTTCCTTTAAACTGTCTTTTTTTAACATTTCAATAATGCTTTAACCTTTTCTAACGCTGTGTCGGCTTTTGTTTTTATTTTGTTGCCTTGTGACGCACTTTGTGGCTTGGATTCTGAAAATAGTTCCATATCTGTATCTTTCAAAATAATGGCACAGTGAGGAAAAGACAACAAGCACATTGCAGGGAAAAAGTAACAGTGCTGAACAATGCACAAAAAAAAAAATAAATTATTGCAGGTATTTTGATAAACATTGGGATTTCAGCAACACATTTCTGCATTTTTTTATCCACTGAAGAAATATTTAAAATGTAAGAAAAATTAAAAAAACTATGAATATTTTACCACTTAGTAAGCATTAATATTCCACGTAGATGTGACAAAATCGCCCTAATCATTCTAAAGTCATCTAGCTAAAATCCAGGCATTTTTCCATATCGCAACATATATTGAAGAAAAACAGAACTTGTCAGGTTGTTGTTGTTTTTGTAGCCCCAGACAGCAATGTTTTTTATTTATTCATTGGTGCAGTCTGTACAATTCCTCTAAAAAGCAAATGATAACACAAACTGAGACTGCCTACAATACAATCCTGTCTAATCGCTTGCACCAGCTGATAACAGTGTGATGGTTTTGGCATGAATTGTATTATTTTATTATTAAGTCCTGTTTACTCAAAGCCGTTCCCTGCTGTATATTATGACAGCAGCTGCTTCAACACCTCCACTAACATTCACAGTATAAAGAAGAACTTTAATGTGAGACTGCTGTATTTCAGCTCGTGACCTTCTTCAGGGTCATCGTCATCAAACACGCTGGTCTTACAGTAAAGCTCTTCTTTAAAGTCCCTCTTCAGTCGCTAAATAAACCCCTAAAAGCTCACTTCTGTGCATTAAAGTCACATATTTAGATTTTTTTTCTATGAAAATAGTCCCTTCCTGCCTTAAAATGGCTTCGATGCAACTCTCCATTCTCACTTACTTCCACTCGCTGTAGCTCAGCACACCAGCTCACCTGTAAGTCTGCTCAAACACTGTAAAACTACAACGTTTCATTACATATGAAATCCTGGAAGTCTGATTGCTTGATCGTTGGTACGCTGCAGGATAAAGGTGAAAATGTTCAGCCGGCTGCTTATTTCGACAACAGCACAAAACTTGATTTTCGTTTTGACCTTTCCAGACAATTTCCCTTCTCCGTGTTCCTTGGAAGTAAACAATGAAATGCCTGCACTCACGTCACACAAAATCATTACATCCATTTAAAATAAAGTTCAAAGAAAAAAACGGCAGAATTATTGCATCACCACATAAGCCAAATGAGGAAGTGGTTATCTGGTTACTAATTAATCGATAGACGAGATGTGTCAGGATCAGTCAGACTCAGCTCGGCCATCGATCACATTATACGTTCGCTCCAGTTACCAATTTCCTCGGGGAAACGAGTTCATATGGAAATCCAACATGAGTGAGTTTAACTGCAGCTGAATGAACAGAAACGATGCCTCCTCCGGCCTGAACCTCCCTCCTCCTCCTCCTCCTGGGCCTGAAGCAGCATCACTCTGCTGTACACCATGTTGTGTGTTTGTTTTGTTTTGCTGCCTTGCATTTGTAAGTTGGATTAAAA